GTTGCAATGTTGCACCGACTTATTTGTTCTAGGGATTAATAAGCATTTCCCCGAATCAGATAAAAATCATGATAATGATCGATGTGCTTCATTTTTTCCTCTCTTTCGCTCCCAATGGGCTGTTCGTACGGTGACGGTGCGCTACTAACAAATTAGCAGGCCATCACTTGTGAATTGGACCGAGGCAACAACTTTTTTCTGTCACAAATCGTTTTGCAATCACTTTTCGACGGATGTGCGGCTTCTCAATAATATATTTTTGACCAATGAGCCACAATGTTTATGGACATTTGCTAAAATAAATTACGAGATATATAGCATCAAAATCGTGTGGCGGAAAATATTGATCGGACACTCAGAGATTTTCAATAACAATGACCAATGTAAATAGCTCACTAACAATGTGAACACGAACTGCGCGATCGAGAAATGAATAAAAAAAGAAGAATATGCATCTGATCTCAATTTGTTAAATTGTGATTGTTGAAAGTATCATGTGATATTTTGGCTATTTACCAACAGTTCACATTCTTCGATCAATTGTCACCTTAGCTAAGATAGACGCCACTCATAAATCTTGCGCATATTTTCAAGTTTTACTTTCGGTAAATATTTAATGTTGTCACTCAACATTGGCCATTGTTGATTATTTATTTTTCTCTATTTCTTGCCCGGTTACAACTCGACCCATTCAATTTTATAGACCTAGTGTTAAACAATTACCGTGGAAAATAAAACGCTTGCGATGGAAACACATAACGTCAAATGTATCTGCATAAATTGTGTGTGCAAAATTTGTGTCGTGTGTTAGGAAGAAACGCCTGCACTATTTTGGCTTTTATGATTCGAGTCAATTACAACTGTTCAGCCTTTAAAATGTGCTAATTGAATTATGTACTCAGACCCAGCACGTCGTCACAGTTAGACGACCATAAAAATAGGGAAACGAGTAACATTTTTTTAAATAGCTTCACACATTCGAATAATTTCTCCTTCTCGTGTGAAATACACAAAAGAAATCGTGTTTTTGTGTCTCGGAAGCAATGAGACATAAAATAAAATCAACTTTTAATTTCGTAACAATATTTTTGGATTTATTTTCCACAATCTCCATTTGTACTGAGCGGCTGTGGAATTTTCAACGATAACATTCTAATCGAAATTAACATTCCACTATCACGGAATCGTAATATGTTGAAGAAAAGAGCAGAAAGTCAAAGTTTTTGGCAGTAAATTTTCTTTATGTTTCCTGTGCACGTACCCGGGGAAAAATAACAACAATCGAGGTTATTCTTAAAGAAAGGAAACATGTATATTTCGTTATATCGAATGATCTTTGAATATATGCGGTGCATTTCACTGAATATTTCATTTGATTGGTGTTCCTTTGCTTGCGATTTTATGGCTGCCACAAGAGCGAATTGACTTACAAATGTTGAATTTTTTATTAATCAATGAATATTGAATAGACCCAACACCTAGGCACATTGCATTGCACATGTAAATGTGTGCTGGAATATCATCGTCATCGTCATCACCGTTTCGCCGCGTATTGATAGCATTTCTCAACGAACGAAAAAAAGCTTGTCATTGCGAAGGAGGCCCATAAAAGAGTACAATACATAGAGTAAATATAAAGCGGAATGAAAATAAAAATAAATTGTGAATGCGTTGAAAGGCAGATTGTTAATCCACAGAAAGTGATTGTGTGAAATGAACGATTTTCACTAAGAAAAATAAAATCATGATAAATTCCAGAAAGAAATGGATCCTTTTCTCAATCGAAATGCAAACATTTCTGTACAGCAATTATGATTGGAGATTTGTTTGGCTTCATTCCGACGCTACTGTTCCGATAGCAATCTTATATAGCATATGGGCAAGAAAGAGAGCCACAGACAGAGCTCCACATACACACAACTACCGTTATTTTATCAACTTTGAACATTTGAGCGAGAATCGCGTCGTAACAAACCAAAGTGTGTGTGTATAAGTCATACACGCGCGCAGCGAGAACGAAAACACATAAAAAGAAGGCAATGCCGTTTGTTTGGTTGCCATTGCCACACGTATTCAGCGTAGACGTGCATCGTAACTATGGTGACCGCGTTTCGTTTGAGCTTTAGACGATTCATTGTAATATCGGCTAGACACGAACACACAGACGCACAAGTCAATTTCAAAGCTTGCCACTTGTCGTTTGTTGTTGTTTTCATGTGTCGCGCCGTCGCCGCCGTCATCGTCGCTGTCGACAAACATCATCGTAGGTCGTTTCCATATGGTTCACGTGTGTATTTGTTTGGTTGGATGGAAAAAACCTGGGCAACACATTTGCTTTCTCTTTTGTGCAAAGCGTCTCATCGAGTGGAAAGAGAAAATCACAAACGCTCAGCAAACACAAACACACAACGCCGAGCGTTCGTTCGTTCGACAGAAGCCGATGCGGTGCGGCGAGCTAGCGAACAAACGACTAACACACAAGCATAAGCAAAATGTGTACTATGACGTCATTGTTAAATGAAAAATTCCTTCACATAATCGGATGTGTAGTGTGCAAACGCGGAGCTTATGTATCGATATACACACATGCGACCATATCACAGCAACGCTGAAAGACACACTTTTCCTTTGGCGAAAGAGTCGGTCGTTTCGCCTTCATAGTGCTCTCACTCACGCTTAGAAAGAGAACAACACGGGTTTTTCTCGGACTTGTCTCGCTCGCTCTGTCTCTCCTTTGTTTTTGTGTAATCGATGTTCTGTTTTGTTGATCATTGCGTGGCACGAGTGTGTTTATAGCGAGGCCGAACACGCTGTTGACGTCGCATCGTCGTTTTTCTACTTGCTCACTTCTGTTTGTTTATTTGTTCATGTGTGTATGTTTTGGCATTTGTTTTTGTTTCGTTAATTCGATTGTTTCGTAACATATAAACACATGCACATGAAATATTCGTGGCGATTCAACTACGTGCCAAAAAGTCTCTATGTCTTTATTTTTCTTCGATCAACTTTTTCTCTCTCCCATTTGATGTTACTGCTATCGTTGTCGTCGTAGTAGTTGTGGTTGATGTCGTCTATGTTTGCGATATATGCTCGTGGTCATTTGCATATTCTCAAAGTTTTGAGCCTCTTGCCCTCATTTTGACAAACTTTCAAATGATTCGAAATTAATCGTGCCTATTTAGTTATTCAATCACCAGAACATGCGATTCTTTGTCTCATTTAATTGGCTTTTAACGATCACAATGCGCTCACACACTCTCTTTCACACATACACATGCACACACTCACACACACATACCCTTACACACTTTAACGATGTTCAGTCATTCAATTTTCTAGAGAATTTCTTTCGTCACACATGGGCCTGGTGTGGTTAATGCCTGAAAAATGCTTAATATGTAGTTGTTGTCTGTGCGTTTTGCTCGTAAGCTACGGATTTTCTGTCGCATATTTTTCAATTTCATTTTGTTTATTCCTCTCTCACAGACATACACTTGCTCGTTGTACTGTACTGTACTGTGCTGTGCCGTGCTGTGCTGCATGTGTCTCTTTCGCATGTTCATATGTATATTACATATATTCTATCGGCGTTCTCACCTCGGGTCTCCGGTCGAAACTACATTCGACACAATTTTCACTAACATTACAGTTTTGTCATTCGTTTCGGTGATATCGATTTTGTTTTGGGTCTCAATTTCAAAAAGTATTTATATAGTGCCGTTTTTGTTTGTATACAACGTCTCTAAAGGGAAAACGCACATACAACAAGGGAATATCTTAATTCGGTATTTAAATGAATTTGTATATACACAAAATTAGAAAAAAAAAACTAAATGGAAAGTTGAAGAGTGAAAAACTGGATGAAAAAAAAAAGAAGCAAATGAGAAAGAGAAAAAATATTGAACAATAATTTAAAATAGACATAAATAAATGTTAATGTGTTCCGGCTAAAGTATCAGTTACAAAGTTCATAATTGCTCAGAGGCGCAAAAGAAAAGTGTTGTCGCACAACACACAATCGTCACAGTGACCAGTGTGAGTGGAAATAGCAATATTTTTTTGTTTTTTTTTTGTTTTTTTGTAGTAGAAAAAAGAAAGAAATTTTCGCGAAAGCGAAATAATAAAATCAAAATATATGGAAAATGGCATTTGTTGGATCGAATCGGTTGATGCGTTGTGCAATAGTCATAGAAAGCGGAAAAATTGGACTGAAAACCGCATTATATCACATCCTCGAATAAATGAGGCAACAAAAAGTTGTTTATTACCATTTATCAGTCAATTTTTTTTTTTAAATTCAATTTGATTGTGAGTGTGTCACTTTTTTTGTTTCGTATGTGGTTGACAACGTTCAGACTGAATATGACCGTTTCGTGTGATGATGATGATGAATCTCTCTTTCTCTCGGTGAATTTTTCAATTTGAATTTAACACGCTGCTTTTAGTTTGGTGTGCGATGCGGGTTTTCATTATAATAGTCTATAGTGAGCCGCATTGAGAGCAAATCAATGTCGTGACACTTACATTTTTGTTATCAGTTTTTAGCTGCGGTCTCGCTGCTGATAATCGAGAACGTTAACCAAATTGAAACACACAGCAACAAAACGGCCACAAAAAAAAAAATGGAATCGACAAAGAAAATGAATTTATATCAAAGACAAAGGCAACGCTACTTTATCACTGGTCGATCGGTTTTTCTGTGTGATTCGAGCGATAAATAAACAGAAAATTTACATACGAGTTAATTTAATCACAGTGAGCAATAGTAGCTGCAATTTCACAATCGCCATGCACTTCTTGACACTTCACAATTCTGTTCACTTGTTTCGAATCGTTGCAATACGCATTCTTTCCGATGCAATTGTTAAGATTTTGCTTTGATATTCGAATATCAGGTTTTCACCGTTAAAACGGATCGAATTGTTGTTGCACACATCGTGTAATGGGAATTACATACGAAGGTAACAACAACAACAACAACACAACTCCATTACACTCACCAAAACAATATCATATAAAATTGTTTTTCAAGTGAAATTTCGACGAATTCAACAAAATAAAGAAACAGTCGCGTACGTCGTTTTAAAAGACGATGTGTTGCTATTTTTTCTGTTTTGTTTTTGTCACATTCTATCGAATAATTTACATTCGGCTCGGTATACATTGTGGTGTGTGTGTGTTTGCGTTTGCGTTTTATTCCATCGCGATTTATTTGTTTTAAAAGAATTTTATTGTTTGTATTTGTACCAAAAAGTCTTTTTTTCTTCTACTTTGTCTCGAATATCAAGATTAAATAAAATCCGTTGAAAAGGTGAAACGAACGAAAAATTGCTGTATCAAATTGAATTTCATACAGGGTATCCAGTTCAGGAGCGTTGTCGCACTGATTATTGCTGAACACTCTTTTGATGAACAGAAAATATCAACTTCATTTCGTGCTTTTATTGCTATTTAAATGCAGGGTGTCAAAATGCAGTCGAGTATTTTGCGATGCAAACTATTGAAATCTGGGCCAACATTAATCGAGTTGCGCAGCACATTGGCTTAATTAGTTTTGTTCTTTTGATCTTTGAATATTTGTGAAAGATTTCGCATTTATTGTTGCTAACGCCGCTTGCACCGTTCGCAATTAATTTTTCAAAGTTGCTTGTGTTTCGCGAGAGAGCGGTCACGATTTCACAGTGGCGCAACTAATTTTTTTTTTTTTTGCATTTGATCGATTCTCGAGAGAGATTATGGCGAGTGGTCGGTTGACACTGCACGAATGACCATCATAAAATGTGACGAAGTCAAAGCGAAATACATCAAATACACCGGCTCCAAAATGATGTATTAAAACAGTTTATAATCAATTTGATAATGATCAATTAGAACAAATGACATTGTAATCACAAAAGATTCAGTCTTTAAACTGCAGTTTATTGAGTTTGCATTTGCGTTGATGGAATGTGCGAGCGAGTACTCTATCGCTCACAGATACACACACACACACATCCACCTCATGCCACAAACTCGACTGACACACATTCGAACGACCGACCGATCGACAGACAGACAGATAGTTGGATGGAGTTAGACACACACGTACACATCATACGATTCTGTAATCTGGAACACTCGAGCACACTGTGCGCTGTTCACTTTCAGCCGTTCGGAACAAAAGCAAGTCACATTTTGAATTATATTCAATAAAGGAGAGAAGAAAAAAATAATAATACGACGGCGTAACAGCAGCAAAATGACAACGACAACAAGTCGACGGGCTTAAATGTGTAATTGGAATCGAAATATGGAAATAACACTGAATTTGCGTCAACAACGAAAGAGATACACCAACAACGACAGCAACAGCAGCAAATCATTGCGAACGAAAACAAATAGAAATGTAGAAAATGTAACAAACGCTCTGTTCTTCGCATTGGTTTCGTTTCAGTAGAGATTCAGTATGTGAATTGCAAATGATATCAATCACCGCGGTGAGTTCATCTTTCGGGCTCACAATTGACCGAGTAAACGAAAACAACAACAATAACAACAACAGCAACTGACTCGGCAACCGATTCGAGAGCTGTTCGATATGCCATGCGACATTATAATATTTCAGTGGCAACATACTCGAAGCAACTCCAAACCATTTTCGATATGTACACATAATCGAATCGAAATGACGTTTAATGGAGACATGTCTATCGTTTGAATGCGCAATCATTATTTTTGTTTAATCATGTATTTATTGATGTTTAACTATCCGTTAAATTGTATACACGATTCTTGTGTGAATTTGTTTCCTCCGCACTATTTGTATGATTTGACAATATTTTTGCCTCTATCGACTATAGACAAGAGAGAGAGAGAGAGAGAGAGAGAGAGAGAGAGAGAAAGAGAGAGAGAAAGAGAGAGAGAGAACGAAATACATAAATTTTAGGTTTCTATTACTTTTTTCGAAGGTTTCGTATCATATTAGTTGAGAAAGAGTTGAACAATGATGAAAAATTTCCGTAATCAGCATTCTTGAACGTACATTTACAAACGATCTCAATGTCTCTCACACAGCATATTCTGCTGTTCATAGCGCAATGAATTTTATTATTGAAGTGTAGCGTCTCTCGCTCGATTTGTTTTTGTTTACATATGACATTCGAAATAAACAAAAACATACATACACACATTGTGACCAGAAGAAAAGAAGCGCTTGGAGTTTAGCTTTTTAGCTTCTGTATATTTGTTTATATAGAGTATTATGATGGCTCATCAATCATGAAAGCCAATAAAACAGCAATAGTCTGTCATCGATTGGCTGTTAATCTGGTTCAATCAATTTATTTCATTTCCTGCAAAACTCCTCTCATTTATATTCAACAGCTAATCGTCTCAACCTCGATACGATAAATTTTGGGATGTTCAGACCAATAGCCAAATTAACACTCTATTTGTGATCTAGCTTCAGCCGGAATGTCCCTTTTTCGTAATCGTGTGCTAGCTAAAATAGAAGCCAATCATAGACGAGCTTCAAATCGGTGTGTAGAACACGCCGTTCGTAATCAATTTACGACTTTCAGTCAGGGACACAAACGCCCGAAAGGCAAATAGAGTTGACAATAAATTTGTCAAGCGCATTTCATTTTTTGAATCAAACGAAAGAAGAAAAAAACAGAATGAGAGAAAGAAAGGAAAAAGAAAGAAATCTAAACGGTAAAATAAACAGTTGACAAATAAGCGCATTTCACGGCTCGAATATTGAGGAAAAATCCTGAAAAATAATAAATTTTGATAACAGCGTGCACAAGAAGGAGGAAGAGAGAAAACAGACCAACGCACACATAACACAAAATTCTAATTTTATAAAGGTTTTTTTTCTCTGTATTTAGCCTCGCGCATTCAAACACAATGTTTAGTGTTCGCATTATCGTTTACTGCGACAAAATAGAATTCTCCAATTTGTTTATAGCTCGATGCGAGTTGTTCAATGTTGATTCAGTTATCATTTCAAAACTGATTTTTTCGGTGTTCGTTTTTTTTTTATTCAGTCTTCTTGTTTCGTATGTTTTGTGTGAGCAACACATAGCTCTTTGCCTCATTCGTCCTCTTGTTGGTATGTCTTTAATTTATGTGATTCGAAGATTGGAATGGGGCTCGCGCGTGTAACGCGTGATTCGCTCTAATCATCATCACGCGCATTTTGGCCTTTTCCTATTTTAAACATACGGCTGTCAGCATTGCCAAACATACTCGATTAAACCGTATGGCTGCTCTCTATCAATTGTGTATGTATAATGAAACATGATGAAGAGATGAAGAGAGAGCGAGCGAGACGCACTTTTTGCTTTTTGGACGCTTCAACTTCACCATCAATTCCATTTTCTATACAATAAACAAGAAGACTGAAGATGAATTTCTGTTGCTTTGTTTAGCATACGAATGCTCAACAACTGAAAAAAAAAACAAAGACGACGACGATGACGACAACAACAACGACACAGCGGCGAGAGAGCGAAGAAAACGAGAAAACTGTTTTTGATTAGTAACGTGTTTGTTGTCTTTCTTTCTGTCAGATTCGATGTTCGCCTCGGCCCGAGAAGAGTGTGTGTTTTTCGTAGTTTCTCCAGTGATAATAAAATAAGTGACGAGATTATTGATAAACAACGAACGAACCAAACGAAAAAAAAAAAACATTCTTCTAATAAAATGATAATCTACACTCTCCAAGAGTAAAAGAAAACACTCTAACTCAATCGATATGTATTCTATCTGGCGATGTCATATTGAATTTCGACGTAATACGTTTCAAGTTCCAATACGCAATTACATTGATTTGACATCGTTCCGAGTCTATCTTGCAAATAAATTCGCAGTTATTGCATCATAATGGTTCGAACCGGTTATCGTTTGTTAGGCTTTTTCTGCTACTGATTGATCTTTTGACAAGTTCCCTATTTTCACAACGACTAAATGTTATTACGACTGGCAAACCTATTTTTAGGCCAATCGAAAAATCTATTGTTTCAACAGAAACGAAACAAATTTTGTTATCTAGTCAAATAGTGACGCTTCTGCCAGAGAGAGAGAGAGAAAAGAAATTCAGAGGAAAATAGAACAAAGTTTTTCAATTCAAACTACTCTATCCATTTGGTGTCTTCGTTTTCATTTATCTTATGTCTGTGTTTTCAAACAGCAAAAATCCATCAAACAATTAAATAAACACGACTGCCTGCACGGAAAACACTTGCGAAAAACGAAAAAAAAAAATGCACGTAAACGAGAAGACGGAGCGAGTGAAAATGTGAAAATTCAACGTCCGTGAGACGATGGGCTGTGAATATAGCTGTGCTAGCACAGTCGTAAGACGCGAGTGGCGTGAAAAATTAATTGCTCAGTCATCTTACGAAAATGTTCTGTCGCAGCGCATTTGTGCATTGCTTAAGATGCGATGGCATTTCTCGGATGTTTTCTGTTGTTTGCACGATGTAGTTTTCTGTTCGGCGACATCTTGTTGCGTTTTTTGTTCGTCTTTTTCAGAGAAAAAAAAAGTCAAATTCAAAATGGCATTTATCCATTCTATTTTCGAGCACTTTTCTCTATTTCTTAAACCTATTTTTAATCTCTTTTTTTCTGTCTTGGCTTTTTGGCTGCCAGCGTCGTCATAGCTTGCGTTTTTTGTTTCCCATTTTCATTGCGATAGTTTCGTTTCGGCCACATTCACTTTGGTCGGTTGGTTGTTTGACAGCCGAAAAAGAAAGAGCAAGCAAAAAAAAGCGAAGGAATTTCTGCTCGAAATTTACATATAGCTCATTCACATTTTGTCGGAATATTGTTCTTTCCGAGCATAAGTATCAGAAATTCGAAAAATCACGTTTGACTCACATCGGAAAACGTCGCAAAAAAAAAAATGCTACACAACATTGAAACCTGCTGCTGCTGCTGACGCTAACGCTGAAAGTCATATAGCATCAATTCACGGCGCTACAGTCAAAATGCTATTTACCGTTTGCAGTATCGCCTCTTGCTCCTCTGTTCGAGACTATCTCCACATAATTCTACAGTCAATTAAAAGATTTATGACGGACCAAATGCTGTACATAATTAACCTAAAACATCAACGCATTGCGTCCACCATAAATTATATCGATATATGTGGTTCTGTTAGCAGTTAAAGAAACACACATCACTGAATTTAGGTGTGCGCTCGCTCGTTGCTCGTCGAGATTTCATCAACCGCAATATATGCGAGACAGATTTTGATTTTTCTTATTTCAAACTTCTCCTTTTTTTGGCCGTGTTGTTTCTCGCATATTCCGTTGCGAGCACGCACTCATTTTAGAATGAAGAAGACGAGCAAGTGAGCGAGTGAAAGATAGAGAGACTCCGTCAACAGCCGTGTTCCTTATGGCTGCTTTTGTTTATACAAATAAATGGAGATTGTTGCACACACACACACACATGTAACGCCTCTCGTCACGCATCAATGTTTTATCTGCCATTTCAAATGTATCACAATTTAAATTAAACAGTTGTGATTCGAAATCCTACCAAATACATCTTAATTCTTGGTACCTTTCTCCTCGAATTTTCACTCTAGGTCTACGATACGTATTGTGTAAGTATTCGAAATTACGAAATAAAATTTGTCACTTGTGCAAGCACGACTGGTATCGCAAGTATCATTTAGAATATTACCAGCTTTTCTTTACTTTCGAGTCTTCTGTTTGTATGTCAAGCTGTTCATTTTTTTTGTTGCTTCGACATCTCGAGTTTCGTCTTTTGTGTCTCTTTTAGTTTACAACTTTTGCTTTCATTGATTTTTCCCAATTTCTCCCCCCACAACGAACCGAGCCAAAATTGATCCGTCAAAGAAAAAGTTTTTTCAGCTTACCTAGGAGAAAAGTCGGTGTCAACGGCGTTCGAGCGACATTCAGCATTGCTTTGCCCAAACTCTGTCTTCCAAACATATTGTTTTGCTATCATTTTGTGCACCAACACAACTCACTTGTACGACGACAATGACAACGTGAGCATGTGCCATATTTTCTTGTTTGTGCCTTTAGTTTTATTGTTTTGGTCGGTTTATTGTTTCAAAGAGAGAAAATGGTTTGTCTCCATTTGGAAAATGGAGCTTCAGTGACAAGCACAAAAAGCAACAACAACAAATGCCAAGAAGAAGAATCGTTTATTTTCGTTTCAAAGCATTTTTCGTAATACACATTCATTCGATTTATATATGTTGTGAAAAAGTATATCCAAACATTTATTTTATGCGCTTCAGAAGATTTTGCTACTATTCTGCTATGAGTTCTGAATAGCAAAATAATTGCTTAATGGCACACTCATTAAATTTTCAACACAAACTATAAGAAAAGAATCGGTAGAAATGTGTGTGTGTTTGTTGGTTATATCGGTATGATTGTTGTTGTCAGTTTGTTTTGTTTTGTTTTGTATGGTTTTGTTTTGTTTTGTTTTTTTTTTCTGTTGAAATCATAAGAAAAACCTTCATGAGATTTGTTCCGGTTGAATTCCAGACTTTACAGCGAAACCAAAGCGTAGAGAGAAGAAATAGTAAATATAAATCGAAGAAGAAATTGTTGGTCCGTATTTGGGTTACTGCAACTACCGAAGAGAATCCATAGCAGTGCATGCGCGTCAATTACGTGAACCTAATTTGTTTGCTTCCTATTTTTATAGCGTCTCTTGAATACTACACACTACACACTATCGACGCGTTTCAAAGCTAAGAACATTATTTATTTTCGCCAACTTTATGGTTTTCCGTTATTAAATTTTGTGTACATATGTGCGAAGTGGCGTTCTGAATGCGCTGCATTCGGCTCGCATGAGGTGGAATCTGTCGGCGGTACAATACATAAATAAAGCAAAAAAAAAAAAAATAGGAGAAATGATTATTCGGAAAATCGATCGTCAGCATCATTAAAATTCCATTTGGTATTCTTTTGAATTCGGTGCGAGATGTGATGCGTGTTGTGTGTCAAGTGGTTTTTAATATAATATGCATCGCACGCGCCATATGTTCAGCCGATATTAAAAAAGTAAATGAAGAACCGAACGCAGAAAAAAAAAAACGAACAACCGATTGAAGTGAAACACACATCTTCATTTGCGCTTGATGAGAGTTTTCCTTTGATTTTTCACTTTTGCACACGGACACGACTTGACGCTGGATTGAGACTAATTGTCTGAATGATTGATTAAGTTCTCTTGCCTTCTCTCTTTCGTCCTATCTCCCACTATCTAGCTCTCGCTTTCTCTCTCGCTCATCGTTCAAGTATCTAACTGACCTAAATTCGAGACGATCTGGTGCGCACTTTGAAAATTCGTTGCCATTTAATGCGTTTTTCTTCTTTGCTGAACAACTGACGAAAATTGAAAATTGAAACCCGAGGGTGGCCAAAACATCAGCGTACACTTTTAAGATCAAAAGCGCACACAAACTTCTCTAATTGTATAAGTATCTCACTCTATCTCTCATTCACAAAAAAATGTACAACAAAAATTAAGTCTTGAAATTGAAACCATACGAATGAAAATATCGTCTAAATATTAAGATATTTCACCGAAAAAAAAACCGACGGACGTAAACACAATTTGTCGGGAAGTGTAGTTTGAAATGAGCGCATTTTTGCGCTTGACGTTCGCTTAGATTCTTTCTCCCCACTCTAGCTCTCTATGTTGACTCTAATTCTTTTCGAACAACGGTAGAATTTATGATAATTTTCAAACACGCTATTATTTTCGAATCGAGTGTTTGTCGACACAGTTTTGTGTGTGTTTATTCTGATGGATCATGTTGTGTGCCACATTACGCACTGTCAACGCTAATGTTTCTGTCATGTGTTTTTATGCATAAACACACGACCAGTGCTGTATTATTATCGATGTCAGCATTTTTAGGCATGTTTTTGCTTAGCATTTGTCGATGTGGTTTTTTCTTCTTGTTCTCATTCGATCGGACCGTGCTAGTTCATTTGCGGACAAATGTCTCATAATTCCCGTAAACGTGACGATTTCAATTTCAACGAAACCACCAGCCAATGAGAATGGAAATGGAATTGGATCGCTCGAAAATTTTGGGACCGCTTTTTTTCCTTTTGCCGGTGAAATTGAGTAATTTTTATGAATGGCAATGTTTTTATGTGCTACCCAAAATACTATCGGGATTAAGTGAACTACGGAAACGCGTCTGACGTCGTTAGAAATAATTATTGATTGTCGTTAGTTGAAATGGCACAACAATGAAAAAAAAACTGGGAATTGATTCCGTTCTTCGCATCGTCGAACACTCAACGAAAGTGCTAACTAAGTCCATTATTTCCACTATAATTAAATCGATGCCATTTCATAATAGACCACTGGTCCAAATCGAAAGTGTAAAGCAAACGAATTCAATTGGAAACAAGAACAAATAGTTTCTATTTCTATGCTGATAAACTTTATCAGATATTGCACTGCACAGTAAATATATTGTTGTTTCTTTGATCGAATAGAGGCCTGCACAATTATATCGATCGCCGTTTCCATTTCACACAAGCGGCGCACACCAAACGGACTAAATTTACGATTAAAATTGATTTCAAGGAATTTCTGATTAAATGAACGATCCACACGTTACATTTACATTATGTAATTTTAGTGAGCTAAGTAGTTAGAATTCTGAGTTTCTTTTTTACTCTCGAATTGTTGATTATTTAAAGACAAACCGCACACTAAATAGTTGTGAAGAGATCTAAACATGTTCGGATTTGGCAGTTACATTTGTATTCGTATGGAATGTGCGTATGAAGTGATTGGCGTCATTGCATTGCACATCGCATCGCATGAAGACAATATGGTTTTCAACACAGTTTAATTAAATCGAATTTTGAGCGAATGCATTTTTTACCCGCTTGGTTCAAAATGAAACGGTTTGCGTTTCAAACGATTCTCGTAGGCTCGGCTGAGAAGAATGTTCAACTAAAGTCTCTTTTTTTTCGGTCGCTTTGATTGTCATTTTCTATTTCGTTGAAGCAGCAATTTTAAATTCCTCGATGCAATTCGATTAGATTTAATTTTGTTCGATGTACACGTCCACACACACACACACATGAAATGAAACATAAACAGAAAATAGAAACAATGAACAAATTTAAAACGTTTAATCTACTTGCGCCGCTCGCTCAATGCTTGTCCGAATCGTATTTTTAGACATAGACGCCAATAAAATCGCGGTGTACCGTACTGCGCTGCGCTCTTGTTGTTGTTTGTATAATGTGGCATTTTTCTCTATTGTTGCCACTATATGTTTCGGCTATTCTTTCCGTTGACATGATATTTGTTGGCAACTCGGCACAAAATACGCTCTGCAGAGATTACTGCCAACGAATTTCTCTCTCGTTTGCAATAAAATACTATTTTTAATTCGGCCTACGGAACATCTAAGAATATTCAAAACAACAACAAAAAGAAAAACGACAGAGACGCGTTTTAATCAGGAGTCATGGCAATTTCATCAATATCTTAAGCCTACTGACGTTTCTACACAATTTTTACGGCTGTTAAATATTTTCGATTCTTTTTCTGTTCAAAATTTATTTGGAAGTACAATATTCTGCTCCTTATTCTTACCGAAACGATCGTTTTTTATGTGGAATCCGGACTTTACAAAACTATCGCAAAAATCCAACAATTGCTTGCTTTTTCAGGAATAAATGCTCTGTGTTTATTTTTAGTCACTTTGTTTAGCTTCTACTTACTGCTTTACAATTCAATACAAGCGTAAATACGAAGGCAATGAAACCGATTTCGAATTATGCAAATTGAAATTTCATTCTAGTTTTTTTGTTGACACGTCAATTTCCATGTGTTTTAATGTTCTGTTTTTTTTGCTTTCGTTTTGCAGGAAAAGCATTTATAAATTGAAACAGAAAAAAAATCCGGACAAATCCATTACGTTACGGTGGAAAGAGGATGCTCATATCGACCATTTTATGTGAGTATTGATTGAAAATAAAACGATTTTGGTTTCAATATAAGCGAATAAGGACTTTTCCCCAGCGACATTTGCGGTTTTATGGTGAATTTAATTAAAATATCAATCTCTTAACGATTGGCCGACGCCAGATACATCACGTGAATGCTGCGAAACATTTCAAATGCACTTGAAATTTATTGCCATGCATTTCGAACAGCATTTATTTAATATTTATTGAATATGTAATCGAAACGGGGAAAATTCGATGAATGAAAAATTTGGCAGAAAGAAGGTGGTGGAAAAGAGAAAAAGAGAGATGAAAGAATATGTTTGATAGGTGATTAAATTGATTGGTATTTCCTACCATCAGTTACTGAATCACTATCGCATAACGACACGCGTCTCCCCCTCACCATCATCTGGTTTACAGAATGGGCCGCAATAAATATTCGATTGAGAATAAAGTCGAACATCGTGAAGTAATCGAGTGTGTCGATAAAAGTTGCAAAACGATTACAATGTCGCCATTCAATTTTCCGTAACACTTCCGATAGTGTGCCAAAGTATTGTTATCGAAAATCAATCATTCGTGTGAGCGCAAAAAAATCAATGATAAAACGTAAAATAAGCACCAAGCGGACAATGAAAATAAGGCAGACTCGTTTAAAAAAAAAAGGATATTGTCAAGAAACTCGACCAAACGCCACACACTGAAAATACAAAATGAGAAGAAGGGCGAGTTAGGAAAGGGCATTCAATTGAAAAATGCGTCAAATGCTATATCAATACACAGTGTCATCAAACATATTGAACACGTGATTTATTCGCTTAAAATATCACAATTTAATAGTTGATTACCTCAAAGTAAAATGAAACGGTTTTCATAGGACAAAGTGATAAGATAGCAATTCCGTCAGATTGTTGATTTGGGCCCGGTTTGACGCCATGCCTAGCAATAAGAATACAATTCAGCAAATTTCGTAAAGACATGTTCGCCCTATCTCGATCTTTTGAGTTCCCGTCTCTGTCGCATCATAGGTGCTGAAATCGGTTTCTCTCCTTTTCCCGTTTGTTTTTCATTGTTTTTGCGCCAGCGTCTCCATACACTATTCATTGTGGCCATAAATTGTTGAGGCACTGCGCTTATTTCTTATCGCAACTTCTTTTGTTGATGAATTGCTATGATATAGAAACGCAGGCTTTTTTTTCATTCCATTTCGGAGGTTTGTTTTTAGTAGTCGTTAAATAATTCAATTCACACTTGATATTGTGTATACAATCGCAATCGAATGTTTGTAAAATTGTTAGCAAAAAACGACAGAGGAGATTTCGTTGCAAGACAACAAAAAACGAAATAAACGTGTCTGTCTCGAATACATTCAGAGATAACATCCGCTTTCTTCGATAAAAATTGATAACTTTTTTTTTGATGTATAATTGTTTGTACAAATATCAGTTAGGATTAGAAACATTGTTTGGCTATTGAAATTGACAGCGCCACCTGAAACCAAATCGAGAGCTACTCTATGATAGTAGCGGCAAGGTCAATCTAAGTCAAAATGAAACCGTGTCTTAAGTGGAATCGAGAAAGCGTCTTTGTTTTCGAACTGCTAGCAACAATGTTGTTGCGTCGAAGTGAGGTTTTCCAAAGCAATTTTCGAAATGTTGTAGTTTCCATCGAATAAGCTGCAATTGGATGCAACAATTCTATCGCTCACTTATTGTGAGCTTATCTACTTGATTTGTATAAGTAACAAATCAGAAGATTCCATCGCTTATTATGGCACATGGTTCATATGATACAAAGAGGTGACGCTATTTAAATCTCAAAATAGACCTAAACAAAATCCAAACAATGTTGCAAATATATGGTGACAATGTGTGTTGTGCAATTTCAATTCTAATCTTCAAATCATTAGTTCAGTTTACTTATTCAATCGGAACGCGTTGATTCCGAATAGGAGCATTCATTGAATTGGGCGATCCTTTTGTCTATGTGCAGTGCATCCGCATATTTTTTTTTTGTTGGCATACATCCGCATTTCATAATTCGTCAAGTCCCGTCAATATGTTGTTTCTTTGCTGTGATTGAGCCTGAAACCTTCACAGTCGTTGAATCACAACGAGTTTTTGAAATGCGATGCACAAGCCATGTCATGCGATTTTGACAAATTGGGAAGAAATTTCGGAATCGAATCAAGATATACCAAGGCCAAAATATGCCTTTAATTTTCTGTGTGCTGAATAATAGACTTTTTGCAAGCTTCAGTGATTGAGTTGTACGCCTGTCAAGCGATAATAATGCGATCTCCACAAAAGATGATTGATAACCACATAGCCGAAACAGAAAAATCCAATTTCACATGTGAAACGACCAACGAATTACGACGAAAAAAGAGAAGATGAACAGCATAGACGCATCGAGTTTCCTCCGAATAATGAATATGTAAATGCAAATCGGGACGGTCAAATATCAAAATAGCAAACAGATATTTGCTAATTTCGTTTCCACAATTCATCATCACGACGTATAATTTGGAAGATGACATTCACTTGATATGTTTGTATTTTTTTGCCATTTTCTCGTGCAACAGCCGATAAACAAACAGCGTCGCTATCAACACCGGATGCACGTCTTTCTTTTCGTTTCTATTTCAATTTATGTCTCTAAACAGCGCAAATAAAAATGGAAAAAAAAAGAAACAACAACAAACCGAAGCACAACACAGCACAGCATACAGTGTGAAGCACACTGAATGGCCGCAGCGGAGATTACAATTAAACCGTTAGCGGTGTATCGTTGTGTGCGGCATGCATTGAGGTGCATAAATTCAAATAAGTAATAGCTCCGTAATCAGTGTGAGTTTGTGTGCTTTTCTCACTTACCATCTCCTTCGCTCGCACGCGATTGCATGTTCATTGTTATTGATTTACGGACAGAATCGAATTGATGCCATTAAACACATGAACAGTCCGAACATTTTTACTTATCGCCGTGTGTTGTTTTGTTGCTGTTGCCATATGAAATGGCCACTAAAAAAATACAAATGCATTAATTTTGCGTCCAATTGCCATCCCTTTCGCGCTCACCGTCGTGGTTGTCGCTGTCGTCGTCGTCACAGCAGTAACAAACGCAAAGTCGCTCACATTTCTTGCCATTTCGATTCGTTTCGATTCAGAAAACATTGTACTTGCCGCACATTTGCAAGTAAACATTCACTGGATGCGACGTGAATATTTTGTCGGTTTGTGTAATGAGTATATATCGACGATTTTCGCGCATCACACTTAACCCTGACATCAATTTTGACCATTTGATATTTATTTTTGCTTTGAAATAATTTTGATTACGATATGAAATAATGATTTAGTTGATTTGATTGTCGGCCGCCGCATATTTCTCTATCTATCTACTGCAGAAGCCGTAAGCATCAGCCACTGATCGCGCTCAATCACATCTATTTGTTGTTATTGCGTACAAGATGCAAACTGTACAAAATCAATATCTAATCAAGTTGCGGCGATGATGTTTTACATCATGATTTCATTATTTTTCTATGTCAAGCTTGACAATCGGCTGCAGCTTCTCGAAAACTATTTTCGGTGCTTGCTTCGAAATATCAGCCGTAGCCGAGGAACGCAAACAGAAAAATAAACTATTCGAGAGAGCTTATGGAGGCAAATCGTTTAATTAAAATGTAGCGAGCGCATGAATTTAGCGAAAGATTTTTCTTGATATTTCAATGCATTTCGGCGGTCAGAGCAACAAATGTTGACATTTAATTTATTTTAATGGGTTTCACCGTGCCACAGCTGGGCTCTGTGCTAAAGCGTATGGCATTCATTCATTTTCATCAAGCGACTTTCGTACGCATTTATTTAATCGATGTATTAAGTCCTCACATATTTATGAAATAAATCCACCAGTTTGATTCGCCTCATTAAACGCTTCGCATAATTAAATGGCTTGAATTCTCAGTGCTCGGTTGTGTGTGTGTGTGTATGTGTATGTCGGTTTTGAGCTGCAAATAGAATGAGAGAAAAAAAGCCCGTCGCAACAAAGTTTCATAGAGCCGTATTCGCACTACATCAGCGTCTTTTTCTAACGGCGATCCAATGACATCCACTTCTCAATCAACTATTTTGAAGGCATTCGGATTTGCGTAATTCTATTCATTTTTTTTCGGTTTTGTTTTGTTTCAAACGCTTTTTTTCTCGATGCAAACACATCGAAAGGCCGAGAACAACGAGAATCTCTAACGCAATTATGCTTAAGATCAACACACTGTTTTTTGCACGTAATTTTATTTTATATTCAGAAAATCGAGGCAATTTTAGTTGACAAACTCGCGATCGAATCAATTGAAAACGACACAGAATCGCAATCGTTTTTGAAATTCTGTACAGAACCGCATTAAAATATTAATGAAAAATGAAGAACGTGTGCGTTCCATTTTTACCGATTTTTATAGCGTGCATTTGTGAATAAAGTAAACCACGATATACAGAACATAAAATCCGGCTTCATTCACGTTAAATAAAATTCGCTAAATTTAGATGAATTCGTTGAATAAAACCGAAAATAAATAATTAGACAAATTAATTTCTTTATTTGTGTATCGTATCGGTTTTCATCAGACGCTACATCTTCTCCATCGCATGTAAAACAACCGTATTTCGCAGTCGGTTTGTTTGTTCGGCCATCCGTTAGTTTTGTGCAATAAATCGCTATACATACATTTTTTTTCGGCCGCCAAACAAATCGTCAGATCAGCCGAGGTAGATTTGAGATTTGTATACAAATAGTGACGCAAATTAGGGAAATTCTCATTTATGTTCGACTGTTGTGTTGCCACTGGAAACAAGCCGAGTGAATTTTATTCAAAAACGAATGCGATTCATAAATTAAAAGAATATCTATTTTTCATTTCTTCTTCTGCAACATCTCCGAGCGGAACATCTTGGCGACAAAATATTCATTCCTAAGATAAATGTAGGTCTTTAGAGGAATGTAATGAAATAAAAAGTCGCGTGGGTGGTAGGAAGCAGCGAGAAAAATTGAGACAACCAAAATGAAAACATTGTTGAAATGCGTTGGATTTCTTTATTGTTTTCACTAGTGTGTCATTTTTATTCAACTGGGGAGAAGCAGAAGGAAAAAGAAATCAATTTTTATGTTTTCCAAGGATGGGAGAGTCTCTCGGAAGTCGAAAGTATTTTAATCTCGTATCTAAAAACATCAAACACTCTATCTCAAAATATCGAAATGTTGGACGAGCTATGAAATTCTGTGCACTAATTTTTTTTCGTCATCGTCGAAACTGTCACAAATGCCACATCGAACGGAGTTGTTTTGTGGTTGAAAGTGAAATGTGCGTGAAAAAGTTCTGTCGACACCAAGCCGTTTAAACCAAAATACAGGTTTTTGATAGTATACAATAGATCGTTTGCTTATTGTATGTTCAAAGCAAACAAACGACCGAACGAAACCGCAGCAAATCGGTCATTTGTGTTCCCTGTGCAAATATTTGCTCTGTTATGTGCTGTGCTAATAATGGAATTATTCATTAGAAATGCGAGCCAACTGAATGTTTATCTCCCCAGTGGATTATTTGATTGCAAAATGATCAAGGAATGTACATTCATTTGTCACAATTTCCGTGGGCAATACCACGTGAACTTTTTCTTTTGAACCAAATCGGAGTTTTCCTAGACGAAACAACGGGTTCAGTAGCGATCACAACACCATTTTTGGTCATTTCAAAGAAATTTTAGACACGTTTTCATCCATTCGATAACCGTAAGCATGAACACACACAGCGCAACTGTTTTCACAGTCGCCGGTTCAAGAACTTCGTTTCTTCTCCTGACTGAATGGATTGTTCTGAAATATTTGCGAAATGGAATTATTCAAAGCTCTTTTGTGAGTTCACCCCATATACGAAGAGAATGTGCTGCAAAATATCAGACGAAATAATGAAAATAAGCCACTGATATCACTGTGCGAACACTATATCGTTAATATTCATGAAATGTTGTCGTCGACGATGTGTTCGGGAGAAAATGCGCAAAAGAATGTGAACTGCCAAAAGGATTCGGTGAACGAGAAAAAAGAAAACAAAACAGAAGACTCACGCTTCGGCTAGCACTCGAATTTCCTACATATTCATTTGTTTCGGGTGTTCTAGTGTGTTATTTTCCATGAAAATGTCATTCAGTGCTGTCGGCTATTTGGAATGTGTGTAGCTGGTAGAATAAATATCATTGAGTATTGCGATTCACGTGGTACGTGATAAAGAGCTTATGAGTATGCGAATTTTCACGTGCAAAAATATTCCGACCACTTTTTTCCCTGTCATCTCTTTCACTGTGTGTGTGTGTGAAGGCGCCCCAACCGACGGCAATTGTGGCGTGCATGGTGTGCGATAAGTTTTGCACCTCATATATTTGCATAAAAAACTTTTAACAACTGAATTCAATTCGTAAAGTATTACTTGGACCCCGTTTCGTTTGTTTACAATCGCAAATCGTTTACTTTAAATTCCAAATCGGATGAAGTTTTTTGAATAACAGATTTCCGTTCATGTTCCACCCAACGCTGCCATTATTATCATTCCATCTCTTCGAAAATTCTACATCGTTATTAAGTTCGTCTTTGCGAACAATTTCGGTGTAATTTATTCGCCATCGTTCACAAGGACATTCAATGCAAAACAATGACAAAAAGTATTCCACGACCAAGAATTCCGTGGAAGGATGAAAAAAAAATGGATATGTTGATAAAGTTTAACGTTTGGCCTTACGTGCAATTTGAGATACTTTGCAAACGAACACATTATGAAATCGTAATTCGATGCGATGCCACACGTCGACGTCGACCAAATTGCAAGTTTGAGAAAATTGATGTTGACGACTGGAAAAGAAATAATACACAACACATGATGAAATGATATGATTACGCAAGACGAATTGAAAAATATTTCAAATTACGCATACGAAATCACTCTTGATGGCGCGAATCATCATCGCCAAAAAAAAGCCAATTACATTAACCCAACATCTTGCGAGCTGAAGATGCAAGCAGAGCGAATGCGCGTATTTTTTTCTCGATGAATATCCATTGTGACGAATTCTCATTTACTATTTTTAGGTCTATCTTAGTGAAATCTCTGACTCGCTTAAGTTCTTAAAATACACTGCATCAAATTGAAAAGAATAGAGCGAAAAATAAATCGCTTTTAAAGGCAGCGTACAGTCGACTGAAAATGATGAATTACAATGATGCTCGTACAAAGATGTGTCTGCTTGCATTCGGTCCAAAATAATCGAAATTCAACGAGTAATGACGTAAATAAACACATAACGCGATAGCATACTGTCAATAACGTCACAGTATTGGCTTAGTGATGAAAAAAAAATGTTTGTGTGTTAATCCTTTAGCCATTTTAGTTATGGTGAAGCGGGGACAGCGCGCCTGATGAGTACATCTCGTTGATTTACTCACACTCTCCCTTTTTTGCACTCAATTGAACACAAAACCCACGCAAAGCGCACATAATTTCTCAGCCGTACGCCAACCCATAATACAATCACGTGGAGTCGAATTACGAACGCGAGTCCTTCTCAATGTAACACAAACACACACACGCACATATACACACCACACACTCCATCCAACTAACCATCCATCCATCCACCGAATGCATAACAAATATTAATGACGTCATTTGGTTTGATTTCGTAACAATTTCAGGATGCCGTCGTCATCGACGGCACAACAACAACAACAACAACAGCAACGATCAAAAGCACACAGCGTCACATTTTATCCTTTTCCGTTGTGCGCTTGCACTGGTTTGAATATAACCGAACGCCGTTTTTTTCTTCTTCTTCTTCTTCTTCTTCTTTGCATTGATTGATGTTGTTTGTATACAAAACGAAATGAGACAGAAAGCTGTCGATTCGCTATACTCTGTTCGTAGCATTCAGAGTGATAGATATATATGTTTATATATTGAAAGTATATAGTAAGTAGTATAAGTTGCGCAAATTGAGCGAGTGTGCTGTTTTTATCTCATTTTATCCCACAGGCGCCGAAGATGCGGCATTCTAAATTGAGTGTTCTGTGTGCAAAAGAGCCGACCGTACACAAGCGGAAGGCGGATATGTGTGCGATTGTGTGCGGAGCGTGTGTTCGATCCAACAATACCAGTCGAATGTGTATCGAAAGCTCTGTCTTCTAACCCGACAGTGAGACAGCAACAGCAAGCACAGATAGCTTGCACCAGTACACAGCATTTCGATTCTGTTGTGTTCAGTTTGCAAGCAGTTGTCATTAAGTGTACACTATAGTTGCGCATTGTTTGCTCTATCGCACTGACAACGCAGCCAAAGATTGCGTTCAAGGTAACACACTCGACACAAAATTCGTCAGTTGTAAATGTGAGAAAGAGAGAAAGAGAGAAAGAGAGAGAGAGACATAGAGCAAAAACGAACAAAACAAAAAACAAACGGCGAAAAAATTTAATAATGCAAAATATCGAGAATAAACGTAAAATGCGTAACTCAAATGATGTGAAACGATAAATATAGTTAAAGTTGTATTCGTTCGTTTGCTATGGAAAATTTTGTACGTTTCACTGTGAATTAAGACAGTTTGATTTTTTGGTCGATCGCAATTGTGGCAAAATATTCTCTCATCCATCATATTTGTGAGTTTTGATTTTTTTGTCTTGATATTACAAAAAAAAAAAAAAGAATTATTGTTTTAAAAGTGTTTTTACCGTCACAACGAATTGATTAAAAGTTAAACCACAAGGAAATCTTATTTCAAGGCTATCCAAAAAAACAAATTGTGTGCGTGTGTTTATACTACAAAACCCACCTACGCCACACAGTGCTTGATGCTGATAGGACGTTAATGCTCACGTTAATAAAGGCTAATTTGTTTTTGTATCATCATGCTGGAAAGGGATAATCGACTTGTTCAATTACGTGGTTCTTATTTCCGGTTGTATTCAGAATAAGCGCTTATTTCTATCCATATAATTGTGAATCAAGTTCAAATAAACAGAAAGGCAAAAAGGATTCCTCTAAAAAGAAATTATTATCTCGATTAAGCAGGGCGAAGCCCATTGATTTTCCGGAAATATGCGGTGGTTATGGTGATGATGGGGCTGTAATTTTTTATGATGTACAATCAAAATAATCCCTCGGTATATCCACTCGTGCTACATTGTGTTGTTGCTCTTTCGTAGAATTTGTGCTTAGAAGAGCACATCTTTAATTAGTGTAAGTCATTTTGCATCCGTTCATCATTTAAATTTTCTTCTTCGTGTTGTGTATACCACAATTCGCACACTGTCAGTGTCCACCAAATGGATTATATTTTTCAAGGACGTTCGGCAAACAACATCTCGAGTAGCTAACAATGGAGAAAAAAAATGGAAATGTTTCGGTTCAAGTATCCACATCAACAAAACAACCACCGATGGCAAACATAGCAACGGCCAGGCGACGGTGCTTTTGTTTCAGCTTGATTCCATTTCATGTAAATGAAAATTCATACCGTTGTACTGTACATACAGTTCCGACAATTCGTTACACAGCCATCATATCATTTCCCTATCATTTTTATTCTGATCGAATAGACGAGCATTTGACACGTTCAGTGAGTGTGTGCACTAGTTATGACATCGTTCTCATTTCATTGGGGGTTTTGAAATGGTTCGTTGCGATGAAGCGATTTATTGAAAATTGTGTGTACAATTTTCGTGGACGTTTTTTTTTCTGTTTGGCTTGTAACCATGACGACGTTAGCTGAATGAAATGCATGCTAATGTTTCACTGTGAAATTGACAACAGAACGAAGTAGAGAGGAATGAAAAGAAGAACACAAATTGACGGTTAAATTGAAACTGAATAACGGCACTTATTCCTGTGTTCGTCATGCTGTCGTGTGTGTGTGTGTGTGTGTACGAAATGCGTTTCCATTGTTACACAGCAAGTATATATTCACAGCCTTTCCACAATCCACAAGCGGCGCATTAAAATTTCTTTGCTTCGTTCTCTTCAAGCATTTTATAGGATGAAGGATTTCAGTTTTCCACATTTTTTGTCCTTTCGCACTCTCTCCATCGTTATCATTGCTGTTCGCTCTCGAAATCACCCACAACTATCTAGTTTTACCAGTGAAAAGTTGTTAGCTGTCAGAATGTTTTGCTAAATTGCTTGTCGCACTATCTGGGTGCACTTTTTCTCCTTCTCTTCAGATTTATGGAGAAGCCTTCGGCTTTCACCACACAAGAATGATAATAATAATAATAACAATGAAACAACAAACGTCTACTTGAAGTGCTGCGAGGGAAAAAATGCATGTTGGCAGAACAATGAAGGCAATTTCCACGTTTCCATGTGACAAACGAAGGAATAAAAGAAAAGATAAGAAAAAAAACGGCAGCGATGAAGCTTTAGCTACGTAGAAAGTTCTTGATTTAATGAACAGAAAATAATGCGTTATCTTGTTAGCTGTGACATACAATATGACCCAGCTACAGAATAAATTGCATTCGACGAGCAATTTATTTGCAGCTGAATTGCAGCATAAAATTCGATTAACATTCAACATGATTTTGATCAATATTTGCGCTTTGATTGATGCTGGACGGCGAAAGAAGGAGAAACATTCATTTTGCATTCGATTCGAAATAATAGATTATTGTTGTAATTGTAGCAATCGATGAAATGCATTGCGCAAAATAAATGAATGGCTCATTTGGTGAAACCATTAAAATTGTTTCTTACACGCAATCTCAATATTGAAATGTCGTGGAGAGAAAGAGAGAAAAAAACGAAGTATTTGATAGTTCATGGGGTCGAAAGCTTTCGGTGTTCATTGCAATCGAATTTATTGAGTGCATCCATCCAATCGCCCACCCACAACTTTAATTAAATTTTGTCAATGCCACACAGCAGCTGGAACACGGAGGTTTTTCTATGAACATTATTCGGATGTAGTTTTGCTATTTACAATTTGGCATTCACGATGCTCTGGCAGTTTGCTGTACAGTGTATAGTGTATACACAGCCTCCGTTCTCGGCTACGTCAGCGATATCCACTGCCGTCGCGTCGCAAGTGCATTATCAACCGCACAACATATTTTACCAATGGCATTTTTAAAGTAAATGCGGTTTAATTGCATTCTCTCACACACACACTCGGTCGGCACGAAAAATTGTCAAAATCCATTAGATTCTTTTAGCACTCATGAACCATTAGCGATGATTTGCGATCATAGAATTTTATTGCTGTACATTATAGAATTTTTTCTGAAAAAAAAAATCAGCAAAACTTTTAGTTTTGAAAAATCAGACTTTGAAAGTCATAAAACGTGTCGCATTCCATTTATTGCCGTTCTTTGCTCAACTATTTTTCCACTAATGTCCATGAACTCGGCAACATTTCATACAAAGTTTGGCAAGTTATGTTGAAGACGAGAGAAAACACACACACACACACACACGACTGCCAAACATGTAACAATCAACTTCAATTGCGAAATTTATGTCAATTTAGAGCAAACAAAATAAAGTATCCCATCCATCGGCCAATATTTATGTATCGAGCATTTTTCATGATGCTCTTTTACTTAAAAAATAAATATTTGCTTTTGATATGTTTTTTTAATTGAATGCAAAGAGTTTTTTTTTCATATGGATATTCGTGCCATTCAGAGTAACCTCCGTTGCCTTGGAGCGTGGTACACAAAACGAAATCGATATCAACAATGTTCTGTATCTCTCGCCTCAAGTAGATCGGTTTAAGGACGGAACAACTCGATGATAACTTGACGGATCGACTTGACTTACATAATGCAAAAGTCAATAGAATGGATTGAATTTTCATTGTTGTCGTTGTGCTTCTTTGCGGTGGCGGCAGTGCTATCGGCAGTGGTGGTGATGGTGGTGGTGGTGCTGGCAACGATTGTTTCGCATTTGCCTGAATGTTATTTTTAACTGTGGTTTTCGGTTGTTGTTCTCCATTTCGTTGGTTTGCATTTGGAAGTTGCATCGCAACGAACCCAAATCCATGACCAAAACTATTTCTTCAACACTTTAAAAGTGTATATCCGATGGTGTTTCGTCGTTTATCGTACACTCGATGAATGCAACTCGACGGTCTTCACGTGTTATTACGACAACATGCACATTTGCCCCGAAGTCTTTACATAATAATTACCAATAGAATCGAAGAACATGTAAAAAAAATTTGAACTGCTGCTGCTGCTGCTAACAAAGCCGCACCAATTTCTTCCACAATCCGTATTTATGACTTACTTATCCATAATAAAGCATTCGATTCACATATAGGTGCTCCATTTTAATGGTAGTAAACAACATTTTGTTGCCGTTGGTTTTCGTCATGCACAACAAAAAATGAAATGGAAAGCGTAGGGTCGTCTATTAATATTCATTGTGTTTGGTTTTGTTTTCGTTTGGTCTGTTGCTATGTTGCCCATACATATATTTTTTTTTTTTCTGCTACTCATTTTCTCTGCTCTTCAATATTGTTCGATAGGCGATATGCAATAGGCACATATCAAGCTTCAACAGAACCAATTAATATTCACGGCTTAAAAATCACAAACATGGCGAACAAGCGTTTGTTTTTTTTAAACTTCTAACAAGCAAGTCTAAAAATATAATGTTAATATTTAAGACGATATTGATAGGGAAATTTTGAACAAGGTCGAAAGAATTATTTAATTAACGTAACAATTTGTTCTGTTTGTATTTTCACAGAAGTTGCAGACTTCCATCATTCTTCGATTTGAGTGATATTCGCAGGAGAAAGGGAAATTAAAACGACAGTAAATTGAAATTGATCACAGTTGTGTCACATTCTTCATGTGTGACATTGGCGCATTGTAAAGTCATGCGGTTCTCCGAAATCCATATCAACGGCATTTAATGCAATTCTCATCGAAGCAACCAAAAACCATATCGAGTCCAATTTCAATTCAATTGTCCAAATCGAGCACAAGCATTGTGTTAGGCGCATCTAAAATGCCAGCTTCAAAACTATTATTGCTACAACAGAATCACATTAAGGATTCTACAACGATAATGAGCACGAATGCAAGTTCAACCGCTGCTGTTCCATACATCAATGGACAACAAAACGGAAGCACCAAAGTGGTTCTGGTGACGAGTGAACCCATGGAAATTGACCATAGCCGCAACGGCAAAACGACAACATCATCAAACAATGGTACCGACGAAGAGTTAACTTCGTTGACCTGGCTACATGATAAGAATCTACTTAAAGGTATTATAAATTTAAACATCACTCGATTTGATTTGATTTCGTATTTAGTCAACTGAACTAACGGTGAAATTTTCAATGAATTAGGTATAAATATATCGTGTCCTCCAAATGTTAAGCACATGAATAACAATCACTTGAAAATAGTAACTGACAACGCATCAACAAAGCCGCAATCACAGCAAGCAATGAGTAGTAAATCGTCGAGTTCGGGTGCCGTAACGCCGACCAGTGATTTCGTTGACGATTCAGGTGTATCAGAAGACAATGCCTCTTCAGTAAATTCGGGCTCGGAGCAAGGCAGCAGCAGCAGCAGCGGCAGCAGCAGCATTTATAGAAGTGTAAGGACGACACCAAAATCGTTTGCAACGACAGGCCATGAACGTGACAACAACACAGTTGAGAATGAAGATATTGACGATGCAAACAATAATACGATCCAGAAAAATCGTGAAAATTCAAATCATAATCAGGTGCCGCCCGCCGCAAACATTATTCACCTAAGCCCCAGCGGTAGTTCGGTTGTCGAATACAAAACACTGTCGAATTTACCGCAAAAGTCAACTATCATACCAAATACATCGTCTCCATTAAGCAACTCAAATCCAGTGATCGTGTCAACAAACAATGGCACTACCGCAAATGGCGCTACCAATGTTATCAAAGCCATTTCCACACAACAATCGAGCATACACTCATCCACGTTGTCCGCATCTACACCGCATACACACTTCCATAAGAAGTACATTAAGGCCATGAATGCATTGAACAGTGATACCATAACCACCACATTGACGACAACTTCAATCGCAAATTCCAGTCAAGAAGCTCAAATTTCGTCGCCAACAACTCTTATGTCCATCAGTACACCAACGACGACGATCTACACCATACCAATGCAAAAGGAATACAGGTACGGCATTTCATTACATTCATTTGTTTCACCACGTAATGCATCATTCCAATTGTTGTTTTTCTATTTCCATTTCGATGCTATTAGCCCTGCAAAGTACGAGCATGAAACGGTTATTGTTGAAAACGAATATCCGCACTCAGCAATAAATTTAGTATCGAATACAAACCATCGCATTTACCATGGCAACGAAACCGATCGTCATTCGGATGAGTATGTTACGCCGATTAGTAGCCCAAAATTGCAACAACAACCGGCTGCCCCACAGAAACTATCCACTTCAACAGCACAATCACCAAGTGGCATATCATTGTCTCAATCGACCGTTCCATTGCCATTGGTATCACCAAACTCGGCGCAGAATCAAGTGAGTTTCACACACACACACACACAAAACCATTCCAGAATTTTGCAGCAACTGTGTATTGATTGCATTTTGTTTTGTTCATTTAAAGCCCAAGCCAAACAACGTTCCATACGATCCATTCATTCATACCAACAACAAACCCCCATTGAGCTTCAGTTCGTTGATATTCTTAGCGATCGAAGATGCTAAGGAAAAGGCACTTCCAGTGAAAGAGATTTATGCATGGATCGTTAAGCATTACCCGTACTTCAAGACCGCACCAACTGGATGGAAGAACAGCGTTCGTCACAATTTATCGCTAAACAAATGCTTCCAGAAAGTTGAAAAGGCACCGGTAAGTTACAAAATTGATCAAATACCTGGTTTCAAATGATGATTTACTCATTCATCTTGATTGATGGTTTCGAACAGAATATGGGCAAAGGTTCACTATGGCGTGTGGAACAACAATACAAACAAAATTTAATTATTGCCTTGACTCGCTCATCCTACCACCCAAACACATCTGCAATGGAAAAAGCGACAGCTTCATTGAAAAATACTCCAATTTCACCGGAAAGTCCATCACTTAAGGTAATTTTGTCAATAGAAATTGTTGCGACGTCGGAAAACGAACGATATACTTACTAACACCTCTTTTTGTCGCGATATTACAGTCGAATAAGCGGCCATTGGATGCAGAGCTGTTCCCACGTTTGTCCAAATTCATGGCGAACATGCAAAACGGAAATAGTGTTAAGATACCTGCCAGTAACAATACCACCGAAGTCATTTCGAACTTGATCGCCGATAAAAATTACCAGATCCACAATGGCAATGGCGAATACGGTCATGCGAACGGTGATAGTGTGATTGTGACCACAACGCATGGAATTCACACGAATCACGAGCATGTCATGCATCCGATGGACGAACGCAATGTTGAACGTATTGCACGTGATTGGGGCGTTGATAGTATTGATGATGTCAATGCAGCTACTGCAATGCTTGCACTTAAACATGGACCGAAATTCTTCTCGGAAACATTTCAAACTGGGTAAATTGAAATAGAATCTATTCGTTTTTGCGTTTCTTTATTTTGCTGCAGAAAAATTGTAATGAAATTTTATTTGATTTTGCATCATTTTAGAACGCCGATAATTACAACCAAACCCAGTGAGGATCACACATATTCAGCCGGTGGCGGAGCCAAATCGGGAAGTGCTGTAAATGTTATACCAGTTGAAACTGAGCCGATTATTCATTTCAACGGCAATAGCTCACCACCGATTGCACCGCATCAAGTCCAAATCAAGTACGATTCAAATTCAATGAACAATCATGGAACCGAAGTTATCATCGATAACAGACATCATAGCGATAATATGAGCAACGGCACATCATCTGATGCAGCATATGAGAGCAGCGAAGAAAGGTGAGTGCATTTCGTGAGAAAGTGCTGATGGTTTCCTTTTTGTTCAGGGTCATTAATAATTTATACATTTTCTTGGTTTGTGGTTAACAGTCAAAATGATATAACGCGAGAAGAGGAGGAGGCTCGCCGCCACCAAGAGGGTGTGGATGCATTTTTATCATTTGCAACTGAAGTATCATCAATGTCTTCGCCATTAAAACGTCCACCATCTGCCGATTACGTTGAGAATGTTTCCGTGCACAATTTCAACAACAACAACAACAACAACAACAATCATTTGTTTGCAAACGGCAATGGAAGCTATTACTACAATGGCGGCGTATCGCCGTTAAATCAACAGTTTGGCCAACCACACATCTATTCATATATGTCATCGCCGTCACCGCCAAAGAAATCGCGCACCCGAACCCTACGCACCAAATTGAAGAAGAAAACCACTTGGCTTCGATAAAATGGGGGAGCAACAAGCGATTGTGTTCAGCAAGCATTAACCTAGTTCCTTGAAAATTGAAGAATGAGACATTTATATGGAAACTGAATTAAAACAAAAACACAAACACTAAAATTGCCCAACCCAAATTGCTGCAATTGAAAAAAATGAATTGAGCGCAAAGCGGGACATACAAATTAGATGATTATAAAAAAAAAAAATCGAGATCGATTCTCCGACTGAAAGCAATGCAAAAAACCAAAAAAAAAAGAAAAGCATGAAAAAAATGTATATGGAAAAAAAACATACGAAAATTGTACACTATTGGTGCTTTTATCTTTCTTGGAATTGTAAGAAGTTTGATTTTCTTCAGATGAACGGTGTTATCTACTTATTTATGGTTTCATGAATTTGCATCAAATCGATTTTAATTTCATTTTGTTTATCTTCACATTATTTTAAATTCGGAATGAAAAGCGTTCGATGCGTTTTGCTCTCGTTTCGATGAACATTTTAAACGAATGTGCTTTTTCACAATTAGTGAATTTTTTTGAGTTTTGAAAATCGTCGAATTTGGACCGATTAGGAGGAAATTGAGAAATTGTATGTTGATTGCAGCAAAACAAATACGTTATTTACAAAACACACAGAATATATATATATATATATATATATATATATATGAGGAAAGTTATGTAGATTTTACGAAGAATTATATATATTATACATATATATTTAGCAATAGAATGAGAAATCCATATACCTATATCTTTACCCACAACTATATCTTTACCTAGACGAATACATATTTTTAGCATGAAGTGCATAGAATTTAGACGAAATGAAAGTGAATGAAATTGCAGAAAAGAATATAGCATTGAATGAAGATGATACAATTTAGTTGAACACAGAAATATAGACCTATTTATATTTACATGAAATGACCTATGATCTAAGCACGACATTCGAATGCCGTCTCTATTCGGCTCAGTTCGGTCTGATTCGATTATTGTAACGCCGTCACCAGCAACCAATGAATGTGACGTGAAGTGGCGGGGCAATGAATTCATTGAACTGAATTCGAGCGGTGTTTTATGTTGCGTGCATAAATTGACGAATTAGATTTATTAGCATACATTTAGAGACTTAAGAATTATAACAACAGTGAAAATTGCATGAAAACCCGAATTCTTGTTAACAAGAGAACATGAAAAATCGCATATACCGACTATCATAATAATATATAACAATGAAATATAATAATCATCACATCTGCAAAGAATTGACCAATGGCAATAGAAATGAAACAGACAGAAAAAAAAACCCAAATCAATCTTAAAACTAAACACAATGAAACCCAGTTCTAGTTGTACGATTTGAAATATATTAGATTTTTGAGAATGCACATGAATTGATTGCAATTGAGACAAAAAAAAAGTGAATAAGCTAGTCGCATTTTGATGGACGCGTGCGCGATTCGTTGCTATTTTGCTCCTCTTTTTATTCAACTTATTCTTTTTTTAGCAAAACAAAAAAAAAACGTTTCAACTTTATTTTAGTCATCATATTGATTTTTTTTTTCTTCCAAAAAACATATTGTTGATCTTTTTGTTGGATTTTATGAGAAATTCTAATCACTTTTATCAAGCACATCGCGAATGTGCTTATTTGTTAGCATGAAGATTTTAAACAATTTTAACTCTGATTGCGTTGTACAAACAAATCAGAATCGATAAATTTAACGAACGGTGAGGATGTTTTGTTGTTCTATACTTCGGTTGAAAATACATTCAACATACAAAGCGCAAAATGAATGCCGTGTGCTGAGCATCAATTGAATAGAGCATGCCCGGCGCATGCGATGATTAGGCGCAGAAGAAATGATTGATTGATACCCGTTCGCTGGTCAAATTTATTTTCTTGTTCTCAATTGATTTTTGCTGTAAATATTGGCAATTTATAAACGAAACATATTGAATGTAAACAAAATGAAACGAATCGAAACCAGAAAGAAAACATTGAAAAAGAAGAGAAAAAAAACATACAAACAAACAAACAAAAAAACAAAAAAACAAAAAATCATGAACATTGTAAGCAAAACGTTATAGTTAGAGAGCGAAATGAAAGTCTAACTGATTTTATAATCATTTCTAATCGAAGAAAATGAGAGAAACAGACAGAGAAATCCCAATGGAAACTTTTAGTTTTTGTATTCTTGAATCAACTGATTTTAATCCGCAAAAATTCTAAACGAATGTCTTATATAAAAATTTAAATTAAATTGTAAACTATTCTATCGATTGAAATTTCAGACAGAAAAAAAAAACAACAACCAAATACACATACACACACACATACTTTTGACATTGCACCCAAGTTTTATTGAATATTTTTTATAAAAATGTAATTCATCATGCGATATTTAAAGAAACAAAAAACAAAACAAAAAGACATCAACAACATTTTAACAAAACAAAAGTGAAACCAAACAAAACGAAATACATTTGCATACGCAATTGAAAGTTTTCAAATTGATTGGACGAACAAATAAAAAAATAATGTGCTTCGTTTCTGGTCTAAATTCGGAAGAATTGAATTAAAAGAAAGGGAATAGGGAAATGAAGAAAAAAAAAAAGTCATGCGCTTCGGTAATTTACACACCGAGAGCTGTATTATTCGCAGTTCACGTGCCAAAATTTATTATTGCACTATTTAAAGTATAAAACTGACAGCTGTGCAACAGCATCAAATGATCATGATTTTCATTTGAAAAAGAAAATAAATTTTTTGTTCAATTTGTTATAAAAAAAATGAAAAATGCTAGCAAACTTTGATTTGGAACACGATCCATATGGATAATTTTGAATGTATAAGAAAAACAACAACAAAAAACAAAACAAAAAGTGTATAATCCATTTTTGCGCTTTTCTTCATCTTATGTAGAAACTTTGCATGCCTTATAATATAATAAACAAATAAATATTATACAATACAACCAGAAGCAGCCATAAAAATGTATTCTGACATTGATTGATTGATCGATCGGTCGAAAAAAAAAAAATATGAAGCGTGATTAGCTTGTAAATTATGTTATTTATTATTTTATTGTGTGCAAAAACATTATAAAGTCGATAAGTGGACGTTTGCCATTCTCAGAAGAAAACTGAAAACAACACAAATATGCCATTATTGACATGGAATTCCTTTTGATTTTAAATAAAAATGCATTGAATCTGTTTGAAAAATACTTTTCTAATTTGCATAAGTTAACACATTTCGTTGCTTCGTGAGGAATGGCGTTTTACACACGCAAAGTATAGCAATCGAAACACAAAAAAGCAAACTAAATTCTAAATTTTTTACAAAGAAAAAACAAAAACAAAAACAAAATCTCCACTATTTTTCGGTCTTGACAAACATTGCTTTCACGTTCTTTGTCGCAATGTTAGACCGAATGTCTTCCAAGTGTGCAAGCTATTTTCCCTCTATCTATTTTCAGTCTATTGCTTATACTAAATTTGATGAAAAACTTTTTTTTTTGCCTCAATCGAAGTATACACAATGTTTCTTTTCTGTTGATTGACTCGAGATTTGTTCAGCATTTTTAATTGTTCAAAGGAAATCCATTCGAAGGAAAACGCTAATTCATGCGAATTTACATATATATTCATATATAGCAAATTAATTATTAGTAAGAGATGGCTGATCTGAGTGAGACGTGAAAAAGCATTTTCGATTGTGAAAAAAAAAAAGGAAAATGATAACTACATGAAATACCATGTAATTTGCTTCAAGTTAAATTAAAATAATGATTTTGAGTTCAACAAATGGAACACAATGAGAAAGCATACGAACAAAGAAAATCAATATTATTAATTATATTGCTAAATAAATCACTTAAGAAAACAATATATAAAATCCAACTGTGTTTTAATTTTCTTCGAATTCTTCTTTTGGATTTTCCGTATTTGCAACGATTCATGTAAATTACTATCCAAATAATAATACAGATAAAATGAAGTTGATTTCGTTTGAGACAAGATTCAACTGCCTAAACCTAACAGAATCACCTACTCATTCTATGATATCATTTGAAATAATGGGCATCATGCTCACGCGACGAGATGTTGTTTACCAACTTTCGATATGAACTTTGTTCCGTTTGATTTACAAAAAGAGTGAACACGACTTCAGAGGCATTTGAAAATGAAACTGTACGTATAACATACAACATGTTGTGTATGCTATTGAGAATACGTTGAACCGGCATGTGTGCTCACATGCAACAGCTGTCAGATGTGATAATGACAGTTGCTTCGTGAACTGTCTAGGTTTTAGTTGTTTGGAGTGTCAGTGCTTGACTTTTTGCATAATAATTCCGATTTCTCTGCTTTGTTTACAAACACACTGACGGAATGTTGACTAGGTTGGTTGTTTTTTTTTTTGCGACGATCAATTAAAAAAGTTGTTTCCTATTTTTGACACAATATCAAGTGCTTTTTTCATTGCTTTTTATTAGGATTTTACGAACAAATTTTTGGAACGAATATCGTTTGATGGTGAGACAAAAGTTAAAATCGAGGGGCAAATCACTCTAAAGTAATTTGTAATAGAGAAAGTAATCGAGAAAGTAATTTACGTGTAAAAATCTCGATTACTTTTGAAAACACAAACACTTTTGAAAAGTAATCGACATTTTTACACGTAAATTACTTTCTCGATTACTTTCTCTATTACAAATTACTTTAGAGTGTTTCGCCCCTCGGTTAAAATCGTGCACATGAAAAAATTCTTGTAGTTAAATAATTATTATTAATAAATGATCATATAACTTGTGCCATTTTTTTTCCAAATACAATATGTAGTCAAGCTCATTTCAAGCAATGCAGAACAAGGTGGAAGTGAGCGTTTTGCAAGGGCGTGTGGTTGGACTTCAAGATACTTTACCAAATGGAAAGCCGCTTTTTTCATTCAAAGGCATCCCATATGCTCAATCACCTATCGGTGAACTTCGCTTTACTGTAACCATATATTCACAAACGTTTCCATTGGAATAGAAGTTAAATTTATGCAATTATATTCCGATTTTAAGGCGCCAAAAGCACTGGAGAAATTTAAAGAACCAGTTTTAGATTGCAGCCGCGAGAGAGATCCGTGCTACCATAAAGACATGATCAGTTTAGAGACAGTGGGTTCGGAAGACTGCCTTTTTCTGAATGTTTATACGCCAAAATTAAGCGATGCAAAAGATTTGCCCGTGATGATTTGGATCCATGGTGGAGCATTCGCATCGGGAAGTGGGGACAGCGACTAGTATGTGCATGATTTTTTGCTTTATTGAACTCGTGCCAATTCATTGATTTGATTTTTTTCAGCTTTTCACCCGAGTATTTAGTCGAACAGAATGTTATCGTCGTCACAATCAACTATCGACTGAGTATCTTAGGCTTTTTGTGTTTACCTGATGCGGGCATTTATGGCAATGCTGGTCTCAAAGACCAGGTAAAATCTAAAAGATCCGTTTTGAATGCAAATTTATATTAAATTTTCATTAATTTGTGTTTTTAATGAAAACGGTAGCGCTTAGCAATGCAATGGGTGCAACAGAACATTGGCAAATTTGGTGGAAATGCTAACAATATCACCTTATTTGGAGGTATTACATTACGATAGGTATAATGTTATACGATATAATTATTATAACTTCTCCATTCTAGAGAGTGCAGGAGCTGCTTGTGTTCATATTCACACACTGTCCGCGAACTCTCGTAAATATTTCCACAAAGCCATTTGCCAAAGTGGAAACGCAATCATGGAATGGGTTATGCAATCGAAAGCAGAAGAAAAGTCGAAAATTCTCGCTTCGCGTTTGGGATGCACCGAAACAGATCCACAAAAAATACTCCAATTTTTGCGTGGCATCGATCATCTTCCAACACTTTTTAAGGAATATTTCGGTACTCTATCCGATGACGAGCGTCGCAGAGGTCTTCCAATTGTATTCAAACCGACTGTTGAACGCGAAACGGACGAAGCGATTATTACAAAACCACCGTTGGAATTGATGCAAACACAAATTGACGCCGCCTGCATTCCAGTAATGATGGGGTACAATTCCAAAGATGGCCTTATTATGTTGATCGATGCACTGAAAAACAACAAATTTGAACAGTATGAAAAAGATTTGGCGGTGTTCATTCCGAAATCAGTCAATTTGCCGGTGCAGGATGAGCGTTGTAAAATTCTAGCAAACAAAATTAGGGATTTCTATTTAAGTGGCGAAAAATTGTGTGAAAGTACCCTGGATGGCTTTGTGGATTTATTGACAGATTATCATTTCACTATTCTTTCATACCTTGCAGCTGAGCTCCATTCTAGATATCAAAATAGGTGATTCTTTTGAAGAAAACTGCAATTTTTTTACCGCATTCTAATTGAAAATTTGTTTTTTTTTTCAGTCCAATGTATTTTTTTCGGTTTTCAATAGACAAAGATTTCAATTTGTACAAAAAATTTACGCTGATGGCATTGGGAATGCCAAAGACAGATATATTCAAAGGAGCTTGTCATGCCGATGAAATTTACTACTTGTTTAGGTGAGTAAGCATTTGTCTGCGAACATAATCGATATTGTACCTTGTGTCATACTAGAATATCCTATTTATTTAAACAGTTGTCGAAAATTCTCCAAGAAACCAAGTGATTTTCCCGAATCAGAGGTACTTTTGCGTCGAACGTGTGCGTTATGGACGAATTTTGCGAAATATGGTGATCCAACACCTTCAACGAGCAACTTCCCACTGTGGAATCCTGTCAAGAAAATCGCAGCGAATGAAAAAGACTTTAAGCTGGATTACTTCGAGATTGATAACGATCGACTCGTGAGCTGTGTCAATCCAGATGGCAAGCGAATAGAGTTCTGGAGAGAAATTTATTATAAATTTAACAACGGACTAATGAAAGCGAAACTATGATATATTTCTATTTAATGTTGTATTTGTATCGTTTATTGGAAGCTGGTTTTTGTATAGGTAAAATGAATTTTTCTAATAAAAATATTTCTTGTTCACAAATGTACAGTTTTCATGCAACAATTTGATTAGAATACTGATTCAGCCGATAGTGATAGGTGCATCTTGCGTGTTGGTGTGCGTGGCATTTGTTTTTTGGGTAATTCCTTGAGCATTTGAAGAAGTCTATTGAAATCGGGTCGATCATCGATTTGATAAGCCCAACTCAGCATCAAAATATCCTTTACCTCTCGTGTTGCCTGCAGATTGGCTAGTGTTTGCTTCATGCCACATCCAATTTGAAAAATGATCGAGTGCGGTGGTTGTCCCTTGAATGGAAATTCTCCCGATAAAATTTCATACCAAACTGTTCCGAATGCATAGACATCGGTTGCTTTTGAAAATAGCAGTTCGTCGTGCACTTTTTTCGTTTGTTTCAGGCTTCGATTTAGTTCGGGTGCAAGGTAGCAAAGCCAGTTATTGGGAATATATAATCCGTTGTTGCATCGCAATTTCTTTGCACTAAACAACCCAAAGTCGGTTATAACCACTTTGTGATTTTCAAGGAAAATATTTTTGGTCGTTAAGTCTTTGTGAACGATTTCTTTTGCATGCAAATAGCTCATTCCATTGGAAATTTGCTGCGCGATACTCGTGGCTCTGTATAAGAAGAACTTTTCGCGAAGCAAGTGAATGTGTGTGTACAATGTGTTTCCTTTGCAGAGAGAGGTTATGATTGCCTGCGGTTCAGTGCAAAATCCCATAAATAGAATTAAATTGTCATGCCGAGTGTTTTTGAACGTTGCAATTTGCACTTTGAATGCATCCAATGATTGTGCATCATCCAGGTAGTTTTCGTTGAGCAGCTTAACAGCTACATCACCATGCCATTGTGCTCTCTTGACAATTCCGAAGCGACCGCGACCGATTACATCCAACATTTTGATGTCACCAAAATTTATGCCCCATTCCGATTGACGATCTTCTGTTGAATCGGATGGCACAGAATCAATGCTCAAAGCAATCGATTCACTAAGCGAAATCGACTCTGACGATCGATAGGATAGAGTCTTTGGTATCGGCTTCTCGACTTCTTCTTCAACATGGATCGATGGTTCTTTTTTCGGTTCACTGGTCGAAGACAATTCCTCAAAATAGTTTTTCAATATTGCCAATGTACTCGATGATCTGCGATGGCTACTTGCCAGATTTGATTCAGGCGCAACAACGGTGGGCGACTTCTTGCTATTCGATCGTGATGATGATGTTGAAAAAAAGAACCCATTGCCTGCGTCAATGATTTCTGGCGACGGCTGTGGCACATTATTGGTGGTATCCAAATTGAATGTCTGCTTGAATTCGGTCATTAGCTCAGGTGGTACACCACACGAGGGAGGTACACTTGATTCACAGTCTTTGTGGCAACTGTACTTACATTCGATGCACTTTAGACCGAAAAACATTTGCTTATTGCAAAAATCACATGTGCTCAATGCTTTGAATTTCTTGGTGAAACGATGCGCTATCAGCGGTCCTCGCTTGAATGGTGTCAATGGCACTTGATTTTTATCAGTCTCTGTGGTTTTCGATTGACTATCAGCCGGTATATGGTGTAAAATTCCATTCCAATACGTCCACGACAAATCGGATGGTTCCGGGACCTTGTCAGTTGTCATCGATTGATGGCATCTCTTCAAATTGAACATCGCTCGTTGCCAGCGCAAAATCTCATTCTCCTCAATGCCCGGATTATTTTCGATCAACTGACGCAATTCATTGTTACTTTTGTCCAAAAGCAGTTCAAGTGTGCTAACTCGTTGCCAAACTGCATCCAAAGTACTATCACTCAAACCTAAAATTAATTTTTATTCCATCTCTGTTAAATTACCACTTCGATTGATTCGTCTCTTTTTGATCGATTTTTTTTTTCACTCACCAACCACTTTCAGCCATTGTTTCAATTCGGATCCAGTTGATGCTAAACCTTTTGGAAGTCGTTTGGTCAGTTGTGATTTTGTAATTAGTAATTCTGCGAACATTTTCACCAATTTTGTTTCCAATTTTCGAATTTCCTGTTGCGTTAGTTCCGCACTTGTCACACATTGAGTACGCAGTGCTTCAAGTCGATCGGTCGACAGATCAATCATGCTTTGAATTACATCAACTTTTTGCCGAATACTTTCGGTTTCCGAATCCATTGTGAAAATCCACCCCACTTAGCTGAAAGTCGTGCTCGTTTTTATTTACACCGATAATGATTTGTTTACGTATCGTGTTGTTGTTGATGCCATAGGCGTCGCTTATGAACTATATGTGATTCATGCGAATGACGTTTATCTCAAGCCTGTCAATGCTACACTTGATCTGTTGTGATGCAGCGCTGTTGTCTGTGTCGAACTGTCAAACAAGTGTTCATGTACTATAACTTGACGACGTTCAGCGGTTAGCGCTATAAAACCAAAATGAAATGAAGAGAAGAGAAGAGAAAAACAGCGCATTTATTTATACATAATTTATTGAAAATCTCATATAATTTGATTTTTGATGCAATTATAACATTATTTTTGCAGCAAAATTTTCATTCCTGTATTTACACGATATAGCAACAAAGTAGATTTGAATTTTTTTTTTAGACTTTCATTATTTATTTTAGTAAAGTCGTTTTATTTATATTTATATATTTTTTTAAAACAATTTCCCTGGCATCGACTCTTGTTCCTTTTTTTTTTTTTTAAATAGTCATTTGTTTTCAGCAAATTTGGTTACAATTTAAAAATGGGGGAAAAATTCGAAATTAAATGCTGAATATAATAAATAAAACTACAATGAAATGGTCAATGATGCATTTTTTTTTTCCAATAAGATAAACAAATATTAATTACGTGTTATTTTATCGCTAAATTTGATAAAAAGATTCGACAAAATGTCATCACGAAAAATTTAAGGTACATAAATAAATCGAACGAATGAACGAATGAAAATTAAAAAAAAAAACAGAAGTACATTTTTTTTTTCATCTCCAATGAAATGGTGAAAGTCTTATTCAAAATAAATAACTATAATAATTTAGACATAGGGTTTAATAATTGTTAAATCACAAGACAAATTAAAATATAATAATGTGTTTGTTGGTTGTTTCTCTGCAATTTGTTAAAATAGACACTCACATACGATGTGAAATAATATGTAAATTCAATCAATTGGATACATTCGTTCGCGTCGCATTGTGCAATTATTACTATGATTTTTTTTGTTGGTTTTCTTTTCCCTTCAGTAAATTGGTTTTACAACAATTGTTCTGACTGATTCAATAGCAACTATGTAATTTGTTTTTTTTTTTTTCATTGAGGTGGAGGAGGTGAAGAGAAATCATTAAATTCAATAATAAATATATTTACAATCGGATTTGTGTTCTCATGCTATTATCCCCAAGTGTATTTAGAATACTGATTCAGCTGAACGTGATAGTTGCACAGGATGCGATGGGCTTCTAGCTAGTCTTTTCTTCGGTAAACGCTCTAGGAGAGTTAACAATTTTGCGAAATCGGGACGATCTTCATATTGAAAAGCGGAACAAAGCATTAAGATATCTTTAACGTCACGCGAGGCCTGCATATTAGCCAATGTGTATTTCAAACCACGGCCAATTTGATAAATGGTACTTTCAGCTGCTTGCCCCTTGAATGGAAATTCACCGCAAAGTAGTTCGTACCAAATCGTGCCAAATGCATACACATCGGTGGCCTTGGAAAATGGTAAATTATCCTGAGCCGGACGAACGGCACGTAGCTGCCGTATCAGTTCTGGTGCTAAATAGCACAGCATATTCTCTTCCAGAAGCAGACCAGTCGCAGTATATTTCAATTTCGTTGTACTGAACAACCCAAAGTCGGTTATAACCACTTTACCATTTTCAAGAAAGATATTTTTCGTTTTCAAATCTTTGTGAATGATTTCTTTGGCATGCAAATAGCCCATGCCCTGAGAAATTTGCTGAGCAACCAAAATGGCACGATACAAATTGAATTTGTCGCGTCTTGAATGGATATGCGTGTACAATGTATTTCCTTTGCATAACGATGTGACCATTGCCTGTGGTTTCATACAGAAACCCATAAATAGGACCAAATTCTCGTGTCGAGTCTTCTTAAATGTCGCAATTTCTAGTTTAAATGCTTCCAATGCATGCTCATCGTCTAAGTACCCTTCATTAAACAGTTTCACAGCTACATCTCCGTGCCACAAACCACGATGAACTGTACCAAAACGGCCGTGCCCAATTTCCTCAAGTAAATTTAAATCTTCCCATGGAATGTCCCACTCTTTCAGAGATAAACTATTTTGACGTGGCCAATGGCCATTGCCACGCTCCTCCGTCGAATCAGATCGTACCGAATCAGTGCTGGCACTGATCGAACCGGACAACGATATTGTTTTATCGGTTTTATCACTACCATTGCTGCGTGTTGTGTCCGTCAAACCAGACGATTGAGTGCGATCAATGGTGATTCGGTGTTGCATGAATTTATCATGCATTTTAGTGGAATCTTTAAATTCTTTAGCCGAATCAGTCTGATCAGTTTGGCGATGTTTATGTATGACATTGCTTGATGAAGCAAGATCGGGAAAATGGAATTGAGTTTGTTTTAATAATGCCGCTGGTGTGTGTGGTGGAACCATTAATAGAGCCGGACTCGATGGTGACGAACAACTTGAGCCAGCCGAACTACTATCCGGTGCTCCAATATACTGATTTGAAAATGCTTGCGATCTATGGCGATCTCGTCGTGCCGACGAAAGAAAACCGCCCGATTTTACCATGTTCGGTGATGTGTTGGGCAAGAAAACATCTGACGGCAACGTTTTCTTGAATTCGTCTATAAACGCCGGGGGTAGTCCACATGACGGCGGCACATGTGATTCACAGTCTAGAATGATGATGATGATGATGACAAACAAAGTGATTAAATTGGACATACAAATAATACGAACACAATTTGCGTGAAAGTGACAGTTACCTCTGTGGCATCGATATTTACACTCTTTGCACTTCAGTCCGAAAAACATTGGTTTATTGCACAAGTCGCACGTATACATAACATTGAATTTCTTAGTAAAACGATGAGCAATCGTATGCCCTATGTTCGTATGGAAAAATCACAAAGAAAAATGATTAATTCAATGAAAGTAATGAAAATATAATGAGACTGACCCATTCCACGATTGATGATAGGCGTGCATGGCGAACGAGGCACCGTCAAACTGTTGTCAGCTATGTCATTGAAATGCTCGGGGTTTGGTTCGGTGTGCAGTCTGGCTCTAGGCGTTGGTAAATTTGCGTTTATATGAAATGGGGTACTTGAGGCTACCGAATAGTTAAAGTTTTCAAGTGCATGCATCGTGTTCGATAAATTTGTCGTGGTAACCGGAACACAGCAATTCGTGCTCGTAATACTGCTACGATTCGCATCAGCGTGCCCATTGTTCCATTGCGACTCCTGCGATCTGGATTTTGGAATTGAATTTTGATCCACATTGTTTGATGCATTCAATTGTGGGCTAGTCGTAACTATGGGCGGTGTAAACTGCTGCTGATACGAATAGTTATGATACGAGTTATTTGATTGCGTCGAATGATTCATTGTCACAACAACGGCTTGATGCCTTTTCCGTGCTGGTGGTGTGCCATTTCGCTTCCCACCACTTTTCGAAATTAATGCATAGCTGGGTGAGTTTGGGGGCGAAGGCGATGGCGTTATGGTACTATTATCTTCGGGCGATATTAAATAGTGATGCCTTTCGGCGACGGTATCAAGTGTTTGGCTCTTGTCGCGTATTGTAATGTCAACGGTTTGCACATTATTCTCAGCCACTGAATTCACCATGCGATTGTACTGTTGATGTTGTTGGTAACGTGATGTCAATCGATGCGTACGCGGTGATGCACTTGCGGATACATGCTGCGTACTCTGGCGAATGTCCCATGAATCCCAAAACAATTCGATCGGCTCATTGGTACCCACTGTGATTGCCTCGCGACAACGCTTTAAATTGAAAATAGCACGCAAAAATCGACGCACCTCCTCTTCTCTAATATTTACATTGTGATTCAGCATACCACGAAGCTCACCGTCGTTTTTATCCAGCAAAATCTCTAATGTATTTACACGTTGCAACACGACATTGAGTGATTCTTGACTCAGACCTAGAAAATGTTAACAATATTTAAACAATTCTTCCATTGAAAACCGCACAGAGAAAGAGAAACGAGAAAATCGAACAGAGACAAAGAAAAATCACATACCAACAACACGTAGCCATTGCTTCAGTTCTGCTCCGGTCGATATGATTGCTTTGGGCAGTTTTGCCTTGGTAATCAGTAGTTCGGAGAACATTTTCACGAGCTTCGTTTCCAGCGTACGGATTTCTTGCTGGGTGAGCTCGGCACTGGTGGCGCATTGTGTTCGCAAGGCTTCGAGGCGATCCGCTGATATGTCAATCATACTTAGTATGACCTCTATGTCGTACATCCGCGGCCCATGTCGTATATTCGTCTCATAGTCAGTTGTCGATTGGTTTATCTCATTTGCCATTCCATAAACCGAATGTAATATGTATCTTCCAAAATGAAACGCTATTTAAAGCGTTTGTTTGTGTAGCAATACGACCACCACCACCGAATTGCTTGAATTTTGTCGAATTGTGATTGAAATAAGTTTTCACTGAAAACTATTTCGTTAACGAACGCTGCCTTATGGATTCCATCTTCGATACTCTTTTTCTATCGATTTCATAGAAAACCAGCCAATCCAGTCGACAATATGACAATATAACTTGCACGAAAAAAAAGAAGATAATTAAAGGTTAAACGCACTTTTTTGTTTAGGTTGTGCTTTTTCTTCTCTCTCACTTCGTCAAAAGTGGAAACATGAAAAAAAAATTCTTTATGTTTGGAACTACGCGCAATGAATACTATGCACACATTCCATCCAATGCGCTGAAACAAAAACTTTATTCACTCGCTTTCTCTCTCTCTCTCTCGCTTTGCTTCGATTTCCAATTTAAATTCGACGAAATCAAAGGATAATCGAGCGAATTTCTTTATCGCAATATGACTAAAACATTATTGTAATAATTTAATTTGTTTCCTATTCATTTGAAATAAAACTAAAGGGAAAATATTCTTTTCTAAATAAGCTTTCGAATCTTGTTTGTATGTTGGAAAACTCTCACACAAAACACTGACTGATGTCACTTTTCTTTTTTCCAATCATCGCCATATTTTTCTCGCTCTCATCAAGTTTTTCGTTGGGCTCTCATTGGCTTTCGCCTCTGCTATAAAAAGTCTATGAAAATGACATTTCGCTCTCACCAAACGTCTCTCTCTCTCTCTCTCTCTCTCTCTCTCTCAGTGCTTGTGTTAGAAATAGTGAGGTTATGTTCGGTATGAATACAAGAATGAAATGCTATGGTCTATTTGTACATAAGTATGAATAAAAAACAATGAGTTTTTCTCCTGAAATCATTTTCAATTGAATGCAAATAAAAACCAAGTTCTCGTTTTTGTTTTGTTAAGAAATCAATGCAATTTTATTACAATTGCAATTTTATTGATCGAATCAATTGCGCTCATCATACATTTCGATTCCATTGAATTTCCCTCCGAAAAACCAATTCTCATTGAGAATCTATTGTTGTCCTTGGGTTTCTGGCAATGTACGAATAATGTCTGAATCTCCTGGATCGGTGATGGACATTGTGCAGACACGGAAGTATTTACCGCAAGCAGTTCCCAATTCAATGTTGTTGCCGCTGTAGTGGTGGACTCCGGTCTTGGCCAACATAGCGTAGTATTCGATTTCAGATTTTCTGCGAAAACAAAACGACAGTTTCAATTAGTAAAAATCAGCTCAAACACAAAAAAAAAAAAATCAATTTGGCATTGAGCAAAAACAAATCTCAGAAAGAGTCTCTAGTAATTGTATCGTCACAAAACTCAGAAGTAGCAAATAGTTGGTCATCATTCAAATGTAAAAGTTTAATTTGGAAAAAAAAATCGCATAAATCTTTTCACTTACAACATGAAATAGTCGATTCCGCTTCCAAAACCATATGCAATCGATGTCCATTCAATCGAAATCAGTTGGCGTGACTACTCCATAGGTTTTCTTTTGGACAATATCCGCATGCACGTGAATGACCATGTGTTGAATTGAACGAACGGCAATTGTGAAATCGCCATTCGTTCCACTGATCGATCCCCCGTGCGCATTTGGAATTATTGCCAAATTTCTGAAAACATACTTCTCAGTCACACGTTCGCGACTCCATATGGTTTCAAAAATGGATCAACATATCGTTTGCAAGAAAACTCTACTTCTCAATAGTCATTTCATTTTACCTGAGTGGTGGAGTGTTGTTGGCGATTATGATCAATTTAGCCTTGCCTTGACGCAATGTCTTCAAGGTTTGTTTGTATCCCAAGCAGAATTTGCCGGATTTCATGACCAAAGCCAAACGGGAATTGGTGGATTCCAAAGCCTTTTTCTGTTGCACATCATCATCATCGAAAATGAAAGAAAACGAAATGGAATATTAGTCACAGTGAAACTACACATAACCTCACTCTTCAGTATTGAGTTCCGACAACGTGGTTTGATTCAACCGATTGATAGAAGAAAAAAAAATCGCAATTTTTCTTACCTGTTTCTTTTGGGCAACCATTTTGATGCTTTTGAATTGACCTATTTGTGAAAAAAAAATCAACAGAAATCAACCGATTAGTTGAATTGAATTGAAAAAAAAAAATTGAATAGAATAGGTGTTTTATCAAAGACGAGTTCGACACGCGTACCTTACTGCTCAAAGTCTGAAGGAAGAAGAATGTGAATATGTGTTTGACGCAATACCAATGCCTATCGCATTCGCTCATTCAGTGTTGACCGATGCGATTTTCTCACATTGTTGAAAATTGCCTCTCCGAACAGCCAATGTCAAATGTTGTGCTTCGTTCACGCTATCGATAGTCAAAATAGACAACTCATTTGAAAATGGAACTAAAGACCTTGTTAGAGAAAGAAAACATTCACTCAGAACGTAAATAGAAATAATTCTGTATTGCGATGGAAATGTAATGTTTGGTGGGACAACATGTAAAAAATGAAAATATGGAAAGAAGGTTTTCAATATTTCACATTTTACTGCAATGCATTGAAAAAAAAAACGTATTGCTCTTATGGATACATTACCTTTGACATACGAAACTTAGTTATGCTATATCAAGTATATCAGTTTCCTCCATAACCGTCATACGACTCAAAGCATTGATGTTCAAAGTTATTACCTAAAAAGTTGTAAATTAAAAATGCAGCCGAAGCCAAGCAGCTGAATTCTCATCAGCTTGCAGTCATTGCGAGTGGCAAAACGCAAGTTTGTCTCAGAAATAAAACACACACTTCTTTGCCAAATGAAAGTACATTGATTGTTTATTTATTCATGAGCGAAATTGTATAACGAGATTCATGGCTTAACTGCATTTTACGCTATAAAAATTTGAATTGAATGAGTTCTAGCAAGAAAATGAAAATTGCAGAATAAAAAAATTCAGTGTTCGGAACACATCATTCGAATGAGTTTTTGATTCTTTTTTCGTTTAATTTACTCATATTAAATGGCAATAAATAGTGTAAATGGCAATAAAATAATGTGGATCGTAATATTTGCATGTGGTAATGAAACCAGCAGAAACCGAGTCATGATTTCATCAGATGTGTGCAAATATGTTAATAATTAAATATTCTTGGTCGATCATTAATAATTGATTTATCGAACGGATGTGTCACTTGCCAGATGGATGGCACTGCTGATATGTATGCTATGCTAAATTCGTCGAAAATCTATTTTACCTGGTCGTAAGTTTTCAAGTGTGCTATTTTTGTGAAGTGGTTCACCAGCTAAATTAGCTTATTATTACTATAGTTTTGGAATTCAACTGTGGAATTGTGTTCTCTGAAACTATTGTGCAATCGTTGAAATTGCTTTTGCATTTGTGGGAATAACTTTTCAATGGATTTACTTTCTCTTGATGTCGTTGCTGTCACTATTTTCCACTATGTTTTGCTTTTTATCACTTTCTCAACATTTCGATTCAGTTCAAGGCATTCTATTAGAAAAGTATCCCATTTGGGGTTTAACGGAAAAGAGGTCACACTCGTACAAAAGTTCATGATTTAATCATTTATTTTTCTATTTTATTCCATTCTAAAACCGACAAAATAGAGAATTGAGCTATGCAACATAGTAAAAAGCAACTTAACATTGGTCACGTCGGTCACAAAGTATCGTTGTTCTTTCAATAAAATTTATCGATTTTCAAGTACACTTTAAATTATGATAGCATTGGTTGATAACAAATAGATGAAAAAAAAACTCTTCACCACGTTTCATGAAATTAAATTGCTAAATTTACAGCTTGATTTATTTGTAGACTTTATATTCGATTCAATATCGATTACATTGCTTATGAGGTATGTAATGTAGAACGAAACTGTAATAGAATTCGGGAAAGAACAAATTCTTTCTTCAGTTCTTTTCTGTATACAATTTGTAGATTATTATTACCACGTGCTACCATTATTTTTGTATTCAGTTGCATGTAAAACAATTAGAAGTGATGTACTTGCCCTTCTTTGAAATTCAGAAAATAATGAATTAAGGGAACATTTCTTTGATGCCCGAATCTTGTTTAATTTGCTCTTCATTTTGAGTTGAAATCAATGATCGTCCTTTGAACATCTTTAACATTTTGATCCGGAACATAAATCTTCATCGCTCAAATTAGACTCACTTTTGACAGGAATAGTCTGTGCTATTTGATGATTAATATGCGATAGCTGCAGATATTCCCGGTATGGTTCAGCAATCAATTATTTCATGGATTTAGCAAAAGAATTCAAAATATAAAAGCAAAGCACAAGCTCATGAGTGTGTTTTGTTTGTGTTAGTCAACAGAAATATACAAAGAACTCAATATAAATATTTTATTTCAATAAATGCCCGCATTGCCGTTTTGTAGGCAAACACAATTTGAATTATCTTTTCATTTCGTACAAAGTGTAATGACTGAAATAATTTTTTTTACATTGGTCCATTTAACTTATTATTGTAGACGTTGGATATTTTCTCGTAAAAAACACAAAGTATGTAGAACACATTAATTAGTCCAAGGAGATATCTTGGATAAGGGCGAAAAAATTCTAAAAATAAATATTGAACTTTTTATGATGAATAAAAAGTTACTGAATAGCTTGGCATCAAATCGTTCATGTTCATTAAATTTTGTTCCAAAGTTGTTTTCGTTTGAAAAAAACAAAAATATCGGAATAAATTAGTAGACACTGTCAAGCGCTTGGGCATTAGCAATTCTTGATTGATTTGATATTTATTAATACACTCAAATTCATAGACTCTCATATTCTATTTGATATGAAATGATTTACATAACAGATAGCCATGAATTTTGGCTTTTTTATGTTGATGTTTTCTTATTTGTGTTCGGAGAAGCAAAGAAAAAATATATGATGGTATGCAGCAGAAAAAAAATGACTTCAGAACAAGGTTTATATGAAATGAACGTCATTAAATCCCTAAGTTGCTTCATTCATAATGAATGTATTTTGTGTTAGCTTCTGCCGCTTCAGCAACTGTGTTTAATATATTCATTCAAAATTTGAAGCATTTGCTTTATTACTAGGCGACTAATTAAACTAATTGCCCCAATGAAAGAAAAATACACGCCGAATCTGTATATGTGTAAGTGTGTATTTGCGTTCTTCATCATATCTATTATTTCGACTGCGTTTTTGTAATCTTTTCCAGAAATCTGCTTAATTCTGATGAATTTGTTGCACTGCGATACGTTAAACTGCACACTTTAGCCACACATTGTGTTCTCTCTATTTGAACAGATTACAACGAAGATAGCATGAACTTGAAAAATAAGTAGATATTATGTAAAACACGATTTTATCCGCAGCCCGCTTCCTTATCAATTTATTACGTTCAATCGGTTTTCCGGGTGCCACTTGGCACAAAATGTAATGAAAAAAAAAACACTGAGAACAATACATAAATTGCATTGGGATTTTTTTTCTTATTCAATAAAAGCATGAAATTTTAAATGAAGTGATTTGAAAAATGCACTTTGCGTGATTCAGTGACAATGGCGCTCCCCATTGAATTGAGTAAATGCACTGGAAGTGAATTTCTTATCATTAATTAAAATTAGCAAGAGATATTAGACTTCTCCTGTGACTCAGTCAGTATTTGCGAGCTCGCTCAGGCTTATTCTGCTCAGAATAACGTTGTGATCGTCTAAAATCATCATCTCGGACTTTTGTGCAATATTTTGCAAACATGGATTAGTTTCAGTACTGTTATTTTGAAAGGCTTAGTACTGCGTCTGATTTCGTCGGGTAACAAACAGTTACAGGGGAAAAAAATAAGTCGCATGAAAGTACCGCACAAAAAGTTCTTATCAATGTGGTTTTAGTGTGGTTTATTTTCCTGTTTTTTTTTTTTCGTTCGTCGGGATGTGGTTAAAGGTTTTACATTTTCTAATTGTGTGCATTTCAACGTTATCAATTGATACAGCGAATGGAGTGGAATGGCCACAGTGTGGTGAGTTTGTGTTCCCAAAGGATGACACCAATTTGAGCATTGAAGAGAAACAGTTTAGACGGAAATTGCCAACGTTATTTGAATCGTACGATTGTGGTAATGCATTTGACGTGGAAGAAGCGCTGAAATCATTGGAAAAATTCCAAAACCTAACGTCCGAGAAAAAATGTTCGGAAACACAAACGCTGTCGCCATCCCTTGAGATTGTAAGCCGCTGGCTTATTGTAAGCTCTTGTTTGTTAGCAACTTTACTCTATTGGATTTTATTTATTTTGCATAGACGAAGCGAATCCAACGCGATGGATATCCTGCGACCACTCACAAAGTCGTAACTGTTGATGGTTATATTTTGCATTTGCATCGCATTGCAAATGAAGATACGCTGTCGGGAACAAATAAAGCACGAACACCAGTATTTTTAATGCATGGTCTGCTCGAAACGGCAAGTTCATGGATAGCACTTGGACCAGAGCATTCTTTAGGTAAAAAAGCGCGCGATAAAAAAAAAATGACGTCGGACTTTCTTTCAATATTTCTTTTCTCTCCGCATTAAACGTAAGTTTTCTCATTAAATAGGGTATTTACTCTACGACAACGGTTATGACGTATGGCTTGGTAATTGTAGAGGTACACGGCCGTCGCGAGGTCATGCTCGTTTGAACTCAACTGGTGCGCAACGCAAGGAGTACTGGTCATTTTCATTGCATGAAATTGGAATTTATGACTTGCCCGCATCAATCGATTACGTTTTAGAAAAAACAAATCAAAGTCACTTGCATTATCTCGGCTATTCACAAGGAACCACATTATTTTTCATAATGACGTCAATGCGGCCGGAATACAATGAAAAAATTACATCAATGATTGCAATGGCACCTGTCGTGTTTGTAAAACATTCGCAGCACACATTTCTCAACATTCTCAGTAGATATTATGCGCTAATAAAGAAAGTGCTCGACTTTTACAAGATATACAGCATTGATTACGGAAACAAAGCGTTGCGATGGCTTGCCGAGTTTGCGTGCAAGAAAATTGAAAATAAATCACCATTCCCGTGCCAATTTCTGCTATTTTTCTTAGATTCCAATCAGATCAATTGCGTATGTATTTATATTTACCATTAACTTTTACTTTGATCCTGTGTAATTCACTCCATTTCCATGTGAAAAGTTGTTTGATCACTTGTTTTACCGTGTTGTTTATCCATTTACAGACGAGTTTGCCGCGGATAGTTCAATCGATACCAAACAGTGCTAGTGTGATGCAGTTGTTTCATTTCGCACAAATAAAAATGTCTGGAGAATTTAAACCGTTCAACTATGAAGATGCGGCAATAAATCGTTTGATGTACGGCGTTTCACCACCCGAACCGTACAATTTAACAAAGACAACAGTACCAGTCACGATTATATACTCGACCAGCGATGAAGTATCAAATTCAAGCGATGTCGCACTATTGCGTGCACAACTACAAAACGTGACTGAATTGTATCAAGTTCCAATAAGAGACTTTAAACACATCGATTTCATTTACAGCCGCTTCGTCCGGAAAGTTATCAATGAAAATGTGATTGATGTTCTACAAATGGCCGATCAATACTCGGATACGTATAATAAATAATACAGATAATTAAATCATGATCAAATTTAATGTGAATTTATTTTGTTTGAATTGAAAGAAATGCCCACAAATTGTTTGCATTGACAGTGAGATTGTTAATATTCATAAATGTGTAATTTTAATAAGAACGAATCGCACATGGTTGACATTCGAAACATTATTGTTTTCTATTAATTGTAGTCATGAACAAACTATTTGAATTTTTTTTTGCTTCCTCTCACATGAGTAAATTTAAATTAAATTGATGTTCTGTCGATATTCATTTGATTTGAATCGATTTTAAAATTTTATTTATTCATTTTAATCAAGTTGCTCCCTCTCTTGTTTTGTTCGTTTACACTACTATAATTATTATTTTGTTATGTGCTGATCTCGCAGAATTTAATAGACGTTAATTAAGAACTGTTCACTATCGATTCATATGCAAGACCCGTATAATACAGAAGAAAACTTGTATTCTCTCTAAGTAGATGTGAATTTTATGATGAAAATGTATTTAGTGCAATTATTTGGATGTGCCTGCAGCTCCCGAGAACGGTTGATGGTCTGTTTTCGATGTTTCATCATCCGATTCGCAGCCCAGGCAATGGATTCCATTACGTAGCATTGGTGTTCCTTTGCCCTTCCCAAGTACACGTGCCGTTACTATCAATTTGATCAGCTCTACCAAGTTGTTTGCATTCACCAGTTTCAACTCTTCGCGAAGCAGTTTTTCTTTATGAGCAAAATATTCCACTTTTATAACAAAGAATTTTTCGTTTTGTTTTTCGGTCGTTTCGTTAACTAGTTCGGTCACTTTATCAGCCAGTTTACAATGCACGTTCGGTGCTATATTATTATCGGCAACCAAATTGATCGGAACATTTGGTTGACATTTAAATAAATCGGCCGGCAAGTGCAATTCAATCAAATAGCGATGATTGTGTTGTAAGAATCCCAAATGCACGTCCACAATATTTTCCCCAACTTGTTGATATGTCACGCAAGTGTTGTCTGCCTCAAAATCCTCGTCTTTCAGCGTCGTTTGATCGAAATGAACGTGATGTTCGGCTATAAAAATAACGGAATGGAAATGGGAATACAAAAAAAAAAATGAAATAAACAACAAACTCATAAAAATCATTCGAAAAATTGCGATGCGGCTCTGTAGCACCAAATATGCACGAACTCAAAACAAACGACAAACACTTAGCGCACACATATGAGAATTCATATACAATACACAGTACACAGTACACAAGACCGTTGATTGTTTGGTGTCGTTCCATTAATTTCATGGAGACGGAACCCGCAAATTAAGCGCAACGAACGAATCGGTTATTGCAGAGAAGAATAATCGATTCGCAATCGATACATATGGAGGCACGATGAAATAGCAGTTCGATGCCATTTCAAACAGAAGGAAACGACAGCGAGCCGCCTGGCGCGATAGTTAGTCACATGACATCATTCTATTCTAATCGATGAACATCTTATCGTTTGGGTATCTACAAAGTAGTATTTCATTAGGAGTATGCTACTGCTTTGCTATGCTGTGCTGTGCTGTGTATTGTGGCATTTATGTGATTGCCATATGATTGCTTTTAAATTGTTTGCAATAGGATTCATTTTCGTTTTGTCCCACAGTTGCTTGTGATGAAGCCTTCGTTGTTGTATTTCTTTTTATTTCGCTTCAATCAAAGACTAGACAGTTTCATTGGATGTCAGTTTAAAAGTCTTACCTGTCGCTTTTTCGTTCGTCATTGTAATGTCTGGCTGGTGCGATAAAATTCCACAACTTTCAGTTGATTGTTTTGTAACCTGGTTACAAATTTGGTCCAAACTGTACTTCAACTGAATTGTCTCACCTAACACACTCTCTCTATGGCTTTCGCTCTCAATTTCTACGAAACCTCAGTCCAATCAAAGCACAAAATCAAAAGAGTTCCGGTTCTGTTCCTGTTTCGTGTAAAAATAATAAACGCGACGTGTCAACAAACTTCATGAACGAACCGAATGGCGCGAGCTCTAACTTTGTACCGAATGTAAATACGCTCCACGCCTGAATATTGTAAATTTTTAACTACACACAATGAATGTTGTTTGTACGGTGCTCGCGTCCTTTCGTTTGATCTATTTAAATTTATTTTTGTTGGTGCTATTTTCTGTTTGTTGGTCTTTTACCGCACTCGCAAATTTAAACGTTTCGTTACAGTCTGTGCTTATCTTAAATGACCTGCACTCCGGATAGAAATAGAACAGTGACACTCTCCACGGATCTAGTATTTCGTACTACACCGAGAATTGATACGAACAAAGTGAACAAAAAATAAAAAAGGGGAGAATGTTTCGTTTTTTTTACTGCGTTTGTTTTTCACTTTTCTTCCAATGATACGATGGAGTTTCGTGCTCGACTTAACTATTCATCTGCGCTCTAATTAGCTGTACATTTAATTCCGAATCGTATTCACTTCTATTTTTTCCTATTTTATTCAAAACAGCTATGAAAAACAGCTTTCTTCTCTTTCTCTCTATCTCTATTGATTTTAATTCCAATTGTATGTTAATTTATTTGAAACACTCACGCAAGAACTGAATGAGTTTCGCCGAATTTTGCACACACTTGGAGCTCGTTCAATATAATGTGAAGAAAAAAAATTATGCACGTCTAATAGAAGAAATAACAAAGAGAACCCCTGATTCGCGTGTAAGTTTCGCTTTTCTTGTCGCACAATATTCAATATTTAATGAAACGCTGAACGAAGCATTTAATTATTGAAAGGAAAAACACTCTGACAATCTGATGAGATGCATTTCTATCGCTCGTCTCACTTTTAGCTCGAAATTACATCAATTATAGATTGAAATCCACGATCCATGTATCGTTTTAAGTTCAGACGAATAATAGCTGGTATTGTGTGATGCCACCGTGAAATACCAAACAATCAACACGGTTAATCTAGCTAAAGTAGTTTTTGTTTGTATTCCCAGCTAACTATCGGTCTCTTTGTCCTTTTTACACAAAAAGTTGAGCTTCAAACTCACTAAACAATAAACACAGAGTTTTTTCTGCTGCTCTTTCTCTCCTTATCTGTACAACGCGAAAATAATACTGCTCTAGCTCCGAGTGTGTGCTACAAAATACTGGATTCGTCAATTCTATCGCACATCGTACAAAGCATCGATGCGAATTTCGTTCAAGCTGCGTGTTTTCGTTTCTGCGACCATCCATTTGACATTGGAATCGTTCGCTTCCAGTAAAACTCGACTCTTTCAAACGTGCGATAAGGAAAATGGTCAAATTCCATAAACTTTATTCATTTCGATGGATTTTCGATTTTAAACATTTATTCATTCCGAGGAGAGCACAAAAAATATCTACATTTAGATGGAAAAAATTATTATTTCATACCGATTTCAGCATGTAAATTTCCAATAAAAACGCCTTTCCAATTCCAACGCCAACAGTTCAAGCATTGGAATGTCAATACACCGTGATTCATATATGTCATTCGCTTGAGCCAAACAATGTTTTTGTGAACTGTCAAAGCGCGACGAATCTTATTCGAATTCAGGTGTGCACTCGTTTTAGTTGAACAAAAACCATTGTGTAAAAGTAACAGGAAGTTGCGTAAAACGACAGAATTGTAAATTATTCCATTGCGAAACATTAGGAAAGACGGTGGAGATGAGTGAATCAAACTTACCGATAATTGTCGTTTGTTCGGAAGGCGCGAAAAACTCTCAAGAAATCATTGACAGTGAGTGTTCAATTCCAAAATTAGATTATCATCACATTTTGTCGCTAATTTCAATTTGCACACGTCATTTAAATTTTAAAAAAATGTTCTCTTCATATAGATTTGCGAAAAGAATCGACTGACAAGAATACAATCGATTTGGGCAATGATGTTGTGGGCTATAAATTCCATAATGTCACGAAATACTACGAAAATGACCTCATCTTTCTTTCACATGAATCAAAACACATAAACTTGGTACCAGTCGAACTTTTGGACCGGATCGAAGGAGTGATTATCTATTTTGACTCAGACAACGTAAGTCTAACAAATAACTCGAATGAAGACGGATTTTGATTAAACAAAACCATTTCTATTCTGTACGGTTTTAGAAAGATTTCCTGCACAAGTTACCCATCTACGCCAATTTCATCGAACGGAATAATATCGAGTTTGGCATTCTGTTGTGCAGTGAGTTGTACGATAATCCGTTAGACGGCATCACGTACAAAGAAAGCAAAGAATTCAGCAGTGTGTTGGATGTGATTGAATTGGATCGAAAACGAGATAATGACGATGAAGAACCATGCGCTGCCGTTAATCATCACGATCCGCTCGGTTATGATGAGGTTTTGCAAGCAATTCGTGCGATAATCTGGTCAAATGTCGATATGAAAAAGAAGATGCCACAGCCGAAACTTCCGCGCAAGGAAAAGGTGGCCTCGGAAGAGGAGAAAACGGTCGATGCGGACTCGTTGGAAGCCGAATTATCTGGGTTCGAACAACTGCTTACTGAAGTGATGGCTTTTAAAGAAACAACCGCATCGTGGTCGCGAAACGAACGGTTGGCGTATGCTGAAAAATTTGCTGGTAAGTTCAAATACACCCGATCAACCTAGCCGTGGCTAATTTCCACAGAATTCCCAATTGATTTGCTCTTTCTTTCAGACGCTTTTGATAATCTGCTGCAAAATAAAGTTCTGGATGAGGATTCATCGGATTCAGATAGCCATTGATGTTACAGTTCGCCAAATCGGCATCAGATCAATTCCAAGATATATAATATAGTTTGTCGAAAAAATTCAATAGAATATGAAATAAAATCGTATTAAATATTCATTAAATCTTCAAAGTGGTTTTCTTCATTGCACATGGAAACGATGCTTAATGTCTAAATTATTGAAACGCAAACACTGTATAAATGACAGCTGTCAGTAGAAGCTCAGTAGTATTCAACACGACAATAAACAAGTTTTATGTTCTAGGATGTCTTTCTCGGAAGCGGTGGTCGAGGGTGAGGCTATCGAATCAGATGATGAAAGTGACGTAGAATTTTCGGCGCCTAATAAAAACTCAAAGGTAACATTTTGTTCAGAAGAGATGGAGATCGGTTCAAAGTAATGGTTTGAGTTAATTGTTGCAGTATGCAGCGGGCGATTATCATGGGACGGTGTTTAGAGGAGAGGCACCGGAGTCTGATGATGAGATATTGGCTTTTTCGAATGTGCGACTGGGAGCAGCTCAAGAAGTGACCGAAGTTTATAAGCCATCACCAAAGCGTCCCCACTGTGAACCAGTCGAAGGGAAAACTGTTCTGCAAAAGATTCTGAGTAAGTCATAGATTTTATTCGAGTTTATTTGTTGGAGCCGATTTATTCATCCTAATTTTTTTGTTTTTGATAGTTGAGCGCAATTATTTGTTCTGGCTTCACCTAAATCAGATGGTGCAAAGTACCGTGGTAACGGCATCAAGTAAAATTTTGGCCGCTGAAGAGCTTCTGATTCAGTCGCAGCTGAAACTACAGGCAGCAAGTCACAGCATTAAGCAGGCTAACGAAACAGCTGACCAAGTACTGGCCAAGGTCAATGACATCCTATCATCCGATTTTCTACCAAACATCAACATTCCTACATAATAATAAGCAAGAAATGGTTGGGATTTTTTTTTTTGGAGATTTTCAGATTTTTTTTTATTATTATCATTCGCTCCATTTTGGTATACAAATTTTTGCTGTTATTTATTCTTACGACTAAATACAAAAAAAGAGATGTTTCTATAAGATGATAACATATTGAAATGCCTTCAGAAAATACAAATTTTAAACGATACGGGAAATTCGAGAATAAAAGACTATAAAAAAGCATGAATTAAAAAATACATTTTTTTTGTCGTCAAGTCTTTTTCGTCTTCTTTTGCAAAACAATGGCTTCTTATCTTAAAATTCGAATGGGTCATATCTAAACGATACAGCATGGAGTAAGCTGATGATTGCTCGCATTAATATAAAGTGGAAGCATGTGTTGCCTAATACGTGTACCTCTGAATTCAATACTTTGGAGCATTTGCACATGTAAAATGAAGTAGCGATTCGAATACTGAGAGAAAAAAAAATATTTCGTCACTTAAAAATACTTGCGATTCATTCTAATGAAATCGAATACAATATATCAAAAAATCTGTTTGTCAATGGATTCATATAAAAAGCGCGATATGAGCGAGCGAACGATAGAACTATAGTTCTCGGTTATAACCAAACATTCTATGCGCAATCGGTTAAAAAACGGAAAACAACTGAATTATTAAAGAATTTTGAATACGTTAAAATTGTCAAGTTACGTTATTTTGGTAATAATACATAGAATTAACTTTACAATATAAAATATGATTATGTGCATGTTCGATGGCATTATTTTTGTGCGATTTTGGCTTGCATTTGAGCCAACATTTCCTGCATTCGCTGCAGTTCAGCTTCTTTCTCTTGCAAAATTCGATCCTTGTCCGAGATGATCAACGGTGCCGGTGGATGTTCCTCTTTACCGTTTGCCGTTCCATTTGGAACACCATTTTTCTTAACGCCTTTGGCCAGACGTTCTGAACGATAGTTTTCATAGTGGACTTCCTGTGTGACCTCTTGCAAATCTTGCATGTGCGTTCTGAATTTGGGTGAAAATGGTTGCATTTAAGACAGCGTTTCATTCATATCGAGCAGATAATTTCATTAAACTGAAACTAAACTTACATTAGCATGGTTCGAAGTTTGATGAAATCACAATGGTCCGGATTTTCTATTTCTATGGTGCCCCAGCCGTAATTTCTGGCTCGTACCTTTAAAAGACAAAAAAAATTGGACGATCATAAAACGTTTTATAGCGGCAAATAAATGAATGAAGATTATAGAACATCGCCATGAATGCGAGGCGTTAAAAATAGACATAAATCGGTTGTATGAGTAATCCTGATGAGGAAAATGAGGTCAGCCGTTTCAGTTAACATACCTTTTTGCCCTTCACTTCGAGTACAGTGGTCGAACCGCACACAGCAAATGGTACCGCCTCTTTAAGTTGACGCACTTGCTCCTTGTATTCCTCGTCTTCGTCGCTATCACAATCGGGCAACGGATAGATTTTAATACCATTGTTTTCAATCTCCTTCATAATGCGACCTTTCAAACGTTCCATTTCCTTCTTTGTTAAACAGTCAGCCTTTGCAATGACGGGCACAATGTTTACTTTATTGTGAAGCTTCTTCATGAATTCGATATCCAATGGCTTCAACCTAAGAATTGAGTATATAGTTGAATTTTTGCTCAATAAGCCATTGCGATTAGTTTCATCATGTGTGCCAAACTTACCCATGGCCAAATGGTGAGATGAAGTAAAAGCAGCAATGAATTCGATTATCAACAATATTCCGACGATTCAAACCGCTCTCATCGCGCAAAAAACGTTCATATTGCTCGTCAATGTATTCTAAGATTGCACTAAAACTATTCGAATTGTCGATGGCATCGCCGAAACCGGGTGTATCAACAACAGTCAACCGCAATTTAACACCACGCTCTTCAATCTCAACCGTTGATGCGTCCAATTTGACGGTTTGCTTTTGTTTTTCTGCGAATGACAAATGAATTTTCTAGCATAAAATGATGATATTCAAAAAACAAAACGTAGCAAATTACCAATTGAGTCTGGAACAACACGTTCGGGGTACAAATCCGTCAAAAACAAGCTGTTAACGAGTGTACTTTTTCCCAATCCCGATTCACCGACGACCATCAGTGTGAATTCGAAACCTTTCTTTACGGATTTTCTGTGCACTTGATTGGGCAAATTGGCGAATCCAACATAGCCGGCCGTGTCAAGGCTCGAAAACTATTCAAAAGCATAAAAGAAAGTTTTATTTTAGATTTCAATTCTGATCATAAAGAAGCATTTTAATCGCTAGTAACACATTTTCTAGGTCATTTTTGATGTGTTGCGAATTCCAATTCATTTTTTTGAAAGAAAAAAACAAACATCAACCGTACGTCTTTTTTTCTATTTTATGAACTCAATGCATTTTTTTTCTGCGCTCAGACTGTGAGAAATCGTTCGACATTTTCGCTTACGTGTTAAACATTTTAACCAAATTAATTACACCCAACGAACATGTTTCGAATTACAATGCATGCTCTGTACGGTTTTATGTCAATAAACGGTAATTTTATAGGCAAAAATAATCACACCCGTTGAGAATTTTTTCTAAAATATCAAAAGCATAAACATTCATCCATCCATCATCAGTTGCAAGCGACAAAATATGCATTAAATAGTTTTGAATCGATAATAATCTACCAGCCAGTTATCATCCATGTAAATAGATGCGAAGCATGTATATAAATTAGTCGGCATAATGAAAACGAGACAAATAGAGAAAGAAGAGAAACTCGAGTACCGTATCAAGTGACGAAAAGAGAGTATCCGTATACCAAAATGATAATGTGCACTGCATAAAACGACGGCGATTGTTTAGCTTTCAATTAGTCGCAATGTAAATTGTTTGAGCTGTGTTTTTTTTTTCGTTTGTAATTGTTGGGAAAATAAAATGAAAGACAACTTCGTCGTCGCTACTTTATTTGTACATGTGTTTCATTCCTTCCGAAATTGTATCGATGATGAGCGAAATCAGTTGTTTATTATTACATTTCGAATTAAATGAATCGAAACAAGAAGCGAACCAACTCGATTCTCATTTTCTCATTCACATCAATATCAAAACCGTTTCTGTTTATTTTGGTTTTATTGTAAATGCTTTATTCGCGTGTTACACGATTTCCGTTTTGAGAACACAATAGCAATGAGTAATGCATACTAATAATGCGAAGTGAATGATCCGAGGAAGAATTGTCGAAAATCATCATTCTTGCTTGATTTATGAAATGTGAAAAAAAACGTATCGTACCATTTGCATTTGGGATCGGTCGAAGAATGAAAAAAAAAAAAACTAAACCCGAATGGTTCTTCAAATAGATCGAAATACTTTAATCATACGGATTTAGCGAATGGAACGAACATGTTCTTACTCTGAAATCAGTTTAAAATAGGAAAACAGATGTTGACACATCGTCGTCAGTGCGTTTGCATGGAAACTTTTTTCTGACGAAAAACACAGAGAGTCATGGGACTGTGAACACACTAACGTAGATAAAACCATTGGAATTTTAAAAATTTCTGTTTTTAATTTATCTTATACATTTAGATAAATGCGGTGGAGCCGAACAAATTGCGAAATGGAATAATTTAATTGAATTTGTGCTACATACACACTGAAGTTCAGTGTCAATTCAATCAACAGTAATTCTAAACGTAAACTATGCAATTAGAACAGAACTTAATTCATTTCAATTAAATATTAACAACTAACGAGTTTCTCTGGGGGCGAGTCTTGACTGGAGCGTACTCACTGCACGTACCAATTCGTTTTTAAATGCATTTAAACATTGGCGACAATCGGTCGAGACTTTGGCGTGTGTACAATGCAATAAGAAAAGAAATGGAAAGCGAAACTCTTTTCTTTTCAAAAATTTCCGCCACGCCTATCAGTTGCAATGACACTCACGATATACACGAAACCGTCGATATATAAATCAAACAGTCGACCAATTAACTTGCTTGCCAAAAGCCTCGGTGCGTTCGATGCAAATTGTAGAATGAAAGACGAAAGAAAGAACCACAAGATTAACGCATTTTAAATGAACAGGAATTGCATGACTCATCAACCCAAAATGCCGTATACTTTTTAATTCAAAAAATAAACGGCCAATCAAAACATTTATCGTAGCCGATTGATAACACACGGGCCGAGATTTAAATTTATTTTTAATTTCTCACAATTGTTTTCAACATTTCAATATCGCTTTAGAACATTGCATACATATACATTCCGTACATTGTACACACTATACGCAAATAGAGATTTACTTACATTCTTTGCGGTATCCGATGACATTGTCGCTGTTGAACCGACTCAATGAAAACACAACACACAAAATGAAAATACAAAGTCTGCTTGAATTTCAAACAAAATGAAACAACAACGAAAAAAAAAAACACACTATCCAAGTAAGGCCCAACGTCTATTTTGTATTTTGCTGCGTATTAATTGCTGTTGCACTCGTCTGATTTCCGTCGTCGTCTGCTACACACAACAACTTTTGCTTGCGATGGAACTATCGAAGAACACTGAGCAAAAAGAATTGAACGAAAAAGAAAATCCAAACCGTCAATTTAAATATATGCGTCTCTCGCTGTCGCCCTCTCCCTCTTTATCTGTGTCAATGTATGTAAATTGTTGTTCAGTGTGTAATTGATGTGTACGCAAAACAAAATGTTGTTTTATGTTATTTCGTTGAGTAGTTTAGTCTAAAACTTGACTTCACACCGAAATTCCAATGTGTGCGTGTGCATTATTTATTATGAAGATAAGTGGTTTTGTGTACACCTCATATACACATTACATACATACAGACGGAGAGAAATGAAAAGGGACTCTACTTACACTCAAACGTGAATTACTAACACTGCAAGGCCGTAACGCTGAAATTCTATCGAAACAAAGCCTCCCAAGCAAACACACAAGCAATACAATTCCACAAACAAATCGATTTTTTCGGCAGTATTTGCACTTTTTCCAAGTATTCCTTGTGCGTTATAAGTGGACACTAAAACAACACAATTTTGACGGAAAAAATTCAGAAAATAACACTTTCATTCACATTTAAATCGAAATAAGCTGTTGAGACGACGAGGAAACAATGATTGCCGATGCCGATACTCAAACACTATACAAATACACACAAATGCCCAACGCTTTGGCGATAACCGAAAATAAATTATTGTAGTAGCTCTGACAGTTAGAGCCGCAGGATTGAACGATGCACTGAACCATATGTCATTTCGGCTGTGATTCGATTGAAACTTATGAAGCGTTTCAAGAACATTTTCGAGGAATTTAATTGTAAAACTGAAGTTTGGTTTTTAATTTTGGATTTGAATTACAATTTTTCCGATATTTTTTTCCAGTTTTTCAAATAAAATTTCCCTCAACGCCATTCATTTGAGAATGAAACTGAAAATTTCAAAGAAGGAAATACTTTTGCTTCCATTATATTGCACTAGATGTCGCTGACTGTTGATACACTCTCAAATTCTCATCTGTTTCTCTCTCATTCTCTTTTCAATCGAATGACGTTTGGAACTTGCACTTCATATGATTCGAATGAAATAGCGTAGCAATGGAGTGCGTGTGTTAAAAAGAGACACAGTGACCAAGTGTGAGCAAATACATGTGAATGAAAACTACTTTTCAATCGAAAGCGATGTGCATACAAGTGAGAGACTGACTTAAACTGGTCGATGCTGTGTTGTACGATTGTTGTGGTTTAAACGAGTATTCATTATTCGCTGGTAGACGGTGTCAATTGTAAAGTCAACGGATTCAGTACTAGCATGCGATTCAAAGTGTAAGGTCGTTCATTGAGACATTTATTGCCAGATATACACACATAAGAAAGAGAGACTCAAATTTGCCAAGTATTTGGTCTTTTTTTTGTACAACTTCTGATTTGATTTCATCGTTATAAACACAAAAGTGCAATTGCATCGCATTTTTTTCTTCAAATCATCATCAACAACAAAAGAAACCAGTCAAAAATTAGATATTTCTGAGGATTTTTTTTTTTTTTTGGATTTCATTGGCTACGTTGACCATCTGTCAAATTGCTGTACGAAAAGAGCAAAAGAGAGAAGAAGAGTGAAAAAAGAGAGGATTTTTTTTTCGTTTGTTCGTTCGGCTAAGTCAATGTGAGAATTGTTGTGTAATTATGTGCGCGATTCACACCACATATCGAAGAGAGAGAAAAAACGTAACGAATTTCGCGATTACAACTGCTGATTTCATCTGAATTTTAAAAAAACCAAGTGATTTTATAATCAGTTCAATTTTCAATACAAAATTAGAACATATTTTCTGAATGACATTAACAAAAGAGATGCTGCAATTGAATCTACGTCAAACGAAAAAATTATCATAGATGTGTCGAGCGATTCGTATAGTTTTGCCCGTGCTGCTTGCGTAGAATATTTAAATTTAGTTAACCTTTAGTGACATTGAAGCATTGATTATGGTTTTTCTGATGTATATGACCAGAAAAATGCGATGAATGAATGGATTTAAAGTTTAAGGACAAAGAAAAGAAAAACAACAACAACAACAACAACAACCGATTTAAATCAAAAGAAAATTTAATCGCACATCAGCTGGAAGGCGGTTGAAACGTTGATACGCGATAACCCGAATACCAACAACGAATTAGATTTGAATTTCACACGAGCGCAATCAAATAGCGTGGATCCGAAGGCACAAGCTCTTGTGATAACATTCCGGTCAAACTAAATTGCATCTCTAATAATACGCATTAATCCACTGAATTGGTCAGAGATCAAATTAAATCAAAAAACACACACAGACCAAAAGACAATACAAATTATTATCTAAAATTCATAAAGTCAAGTGTTTGAAGCACACTCGTTTCGGCGCGAGCACGATCGTGATATAAAGATACACAATCTAAAAATAGAAACAAACGCTCGTTTGCACATTTTCGAACTAAAAAACATTGTTAATATTTTGTAAATAAGAGTGCAGCTGCAATCTTAATCAAATTCGTTCGCATACTTCGTGGTCGTTCATAGTATGACAATGACGAAAAAAGAAGAAGATGATGACTTGTTGCCCGATAAGGATGCAGCCAAAGGTTTCTACGCTAAATATGAACCCAAGGAAATTCTCGGCAGGTAAGAAATCATTACATATCACTTTTATGCATCTGAAATTTTGTTTACTCTTCTCGGAAATATTCTGTTTAACTCGTGCTTTATACTGGTAATTAACAGGAACTAGCAAAAGCCATTAGCAATTATATAACATTTGCGAAAAAGGCAATTTGCATTGGATGAATGAAAGGGTGATGATGAATTGAGGCACGTTTTTCTCGCAGTCGTTTCTCTGAGCTTCTATTCGAAGTGCAGAATGGTTCGACGAGTCAGCAGTTTTTTTTCTACCGTCGCTGCAACCGCGTTTTCACAATAAATTGCGAAATAATAAAACAATGGAAAAATGCACGAAAAAGGGCCAGTCGAATATCCAATGGAAAAATACCAAGAGTTTGATTTTGTTTTATGAATTGTATGATGGTTCACAACCGAATTGCAACGCCCATGAATTCAGATGCAAAAAAGAGACAAATAAAACGTCAACAGTACGTTTACGGTCACACGAATCAGAAACAGCAAATAGTTCTCGTATGACGAGAGTGCTACACTGATAATCCGTGAATTAAAAATAAACCGAAATCACTCCATTTCGTTTGTACGCACCAAATGAATGACGATAATACAGAAATGAAAACAATTGATTGGTTTCTTTTCAAAAGCACTGTTTATAGATTTAACGAAAGATAGAGTATCAATCATCCAAAGAGAGTTATCATTGCGTAAAACATGCGCCGACGACATTGCAAAAAGATCTTGAGAAAAATTTCCAAACTGGCGATTATCATGTGTGCAAATACGATATACCAAATATTGTTTCATCGTAAATTTTATTTAGCACAAACACACACCATCACACCCATGATCGCGTTGTGTAGCGACAAAAACATGATGGTTTCTCGCAATTCAGAGCGTTCATTTGCTTGTATAAGTTCAAAGTCTACGTTCATTTGAAATGGCAAATATTTTGTGTTTCGATTCTTTTCGTCGGTTGGCTGATCATCACATCGACTCACGACGTCTGAAAATATACATATATATTCAAGTCGATGAATTGCAGTATCGATCGGAACGTTCACATTTGTGTTCGTGTGTCACCTCTTGGCAATCGTTCGACGTGACGAGATCGACCAATGAGAAAGCGCTAAAAACGGGGGCTTGTTCATGGTATTGGTCGGTAATTTCAATTAATTGAATGCAATTAAATTGTGTTGATTTTTTTCTCGTCGTTTTCTTGCTTGACGACTAACGTCCGATAGAAAGATAGAATCTGAAAAAGAAAAACGCCAGCGGATATCTGATGATCGACGGTGTTCGTGCCTTAAACAATTGGACACAGCATGCATCAACTATAGTTAAAAATAAATATTTTCTAGGCTTGCAACTGGTTTTTCGTAAACTAGAATCGACAAAAAGCAGAAATTTGCATCTTGTCTACCAATCTTGTTGTAATAAAAATTTAAACCCCGCGCACATTTCCGATGATTTATCGACACCGAATTCGAGATATCATTTGTCGCAAACTCTATCGTCGTCTGCAAACGATATGGAGACTTACCCTCGCACCTTCTCTCTCTCTCTCTCTCTCTCTCTCTCTCGGTTGAATGGATATTCTTTTATTTCTTTTGCTAACGATGCTTTTCTACTGACTTAATGGTCATAATCGCCTGAGATTGATGATCTTATCCTATGCATTTTTATTTAACTACCTTTCAACTGAAAATCGACCAATTGTTTGATTTGATGATGAAAGCAAGGCGTCTGATTATTTCATCGCTCTTTTTTCAAGCAACGATAAGATTATTCAATTGGGTTTTTTTTAAGTAAATTCCCTTGTTCCCTCTCCATTTCCTATTTCGACCGTCATTTTTTTCCTGTACACGGTATTTTTCCACTGCGATATCCATGTGATCATACGTTGCCATTGAAAACGGTTTGTGAATCGCACTTCTATTTTGAAATGTCAAACTGATTATACACATTTCTAGGGAACATCTGTTCGCTGATTAATTCACGAAACACGCGTCTCAATTCCAAATTATGGCTGCTGGATTCAAGCTTCCTGATTTCAAAGCAAAAATAAACTGTCGAAGTCACACAAGCGTCCGATTGGGCTTTAATCCGGTCACAAACTAAACAAGCGCTCACCCGTTCCACACGAATCGTTCAACTCAAACTTTTTTGTATGATACGCTTCATAAATGTCAACAATTCGAACTTTCTCGAAGCGTAGTCTTACGTGATGATGTTCTAAAACACCGAGATTCTCTTTTCTTATAAATACAAACAAACAAGACAATATGCATATGTTCCACAAGTATAACTGTAGTAACACAGCGATCAATCGAGCGGCAGATGAGAAAAATTGATTTCAATTTGCTTCAAAATTATATAACGATTGGGAAGAATAGAACAAATCGTTCAATTTGATAGAGAACAGAACAATAAAAGAAACTAAACGGCATGGCCGGCTGATTAAAAATCTCGGTGTTCTTGTAATAATATTTGGTTTGGAAGATATGTCCAGAATTTTAACGGTTATTAAACTCTTTTAAGCTTCATTAGAATTTCGACTTCATTGTTTGCATGTATATAGGTTTGTTGACCCATATTTACACAGCAGCACAGTAAACATTGAAAAGGATTTGCAAATTTTTATTGGAAGTTTGTGTTTTCAAAATAAAAACATTGGGTAAACCAAAAACAAAAAATAGCCTAGCTAAAAATAGACTCCAGTCGATTCAAGTTGCAATAATGTGCTAACACACTTGTATGCCGGATAAGAAACGAGTTGATACTAGGTAGGCTTGACATCGATAACATGTACACTGTACAGTTTTTTTTGTCCAGCAATTTAGCGAAAAACCATAAAAATCTAATTGGTTTGCATAGATTGGTGCCGGTTTGATCGTGTCCAAATTGCTATTAATTGCAATATGAAAACTGATTGTACCAGTCAATCGAAATAAATTTTCAATTGTTGAATTAATTATATTATAGTAATCGAAGTAAATGAAAGATGTGATCTGATACATTAGATTGAATCTACAGCATTGAAATAATGAAGCAGAAAAGTATAGACGATGTGTGTTATGTCTCTCATATACATCCAATAATGAGCAGTCTCACATACGGACGGCAGTGAGAGGAATAAATGGCAAAAAAAAACACTCCAGTGGAAAAGTACCAGCACCCATTCGAGTTAACGTTTTTTTTTCTTCTCTATCTGCTATATAAATATATGTGTATATTTATATATATTTTTTGTTCATTATTTTATCGGGCTTTTGTGAGTGTTTGCAAGCGCAGTTTATTTGTTATTCCTCTTTTTCGTAGTTTTTTTTTTCTGTCGCCCAAACACGCTGCTATTTGATTATATTTCATATGGCATTCGTTTTGCTTCACATACACAGAGTGAATGTGTGTGAGGGAATACGTATAACGTTTTATCTCTCGCGTGCTTTTTATGGCCCAAAATAGAACGATGTAACAGCTCACATGTGACTGCTCACGTCAAGTCACTTGACTCGACTTCGAAACGCATGCTTCGACACGAAATCAAACAAAAGGCCCCACAATGAGGAAGATGCACTTCAATAGAAACCAGAGATCGCACATTTGCTGCTAAGTAGGCCTGAGCCGAGCTGAATTTGCTAACTCAGGCGTCTGAAGCGTTATTTTAACAAAATTCATATTCCCAGCCAGATCAGCCTCAAATTTGACTTGGCAAATCTGGAATAGGAATTTTGTACTGTGAATGCGTTAAAATAACGCTTCAGGCGACTGAGTCACCAAATTCAGCTCAGCTCAGGCCTAATCAGCAGCAAATATGCAATCTCTGATGGAAACGGTTATGGACGCAACAATTTTTTTTTGGGTTTATTCCATGACCTTAAACTCGTGTGACTTAATTCACGAAAGCAACCGCATTACTCATTTCCCTTCCTCTTAGCCACACTCACAGTATTCGGCTTGATTGCCTCTTACCGATTCCATATCTGTATCCATGTTAATTCGCTTGCGCCGTTCAAACGACAGTCATGCCTCGAACACTCATAGTACCATTCCGTTGACTGTTTTTTTTCTCTTCTTCTTCTCTCGTTTCATTATATATTTTTTTTATGTTTTGTTTCATCGTCTGTTCTCTTTTCGTTTCACTTCGGTTTCGATATTCGGTTTTCTTTTCCTCGAAATTTCTCGAATCATGCGTTTTTCCGCTTTTGAATCACGCACGTTTACATTTTGACATCATTTAGCCGCGCTGCACTATACATCGTCTGAATGTATGTGTGCAGACCAATGGAAATTTTTTTTTCTCTCTGAAATACATTTTAAACGATAAGTTTATTTCCACTGCGCGCCATTCATGCATGGAATTTTTTCTGAATTCTGCGTATTCAATGCAATCAATGGAAGAGTTCTGAAATATCGGAGTGGAAAGTAAAAGCAATTTATTTGTTACAACATATTAAAAGCGACAGTTATCCAAATATTTACCGAGGCTCGAACCAGACCTGATAAATATTGATATTGATATTCAAGTTGAAAATAATTGGTGGAAAGGCTTGTTGCATCAAATTGCATTGTGTTGCGTCGATATATGGGTTGACAACCACTTTGATTACGTTAATGCATATACAAAAGAGGAACAACACACCGGACCGAATTGAATGTCGTGCAAAAACCAATTTTGCTCTGTTTATTTTTTTTCGCAACAATTTAATGTGACGCCAAACTGATTAGTGTGTTTCATATACATTTTTCTCTCTCTTTCTTCTACACGATTGATGTTCAATCCATCATTTTGTCTCTTAATGTTTGTATCTACTTTGAATTGACGTCAACGCGCATACCAATCATTTGGCAAACATACACAAATACACATTAACGCTATCGTTTTCTTCTTCTATTATTATTTAATATAAATTTAAGCAACAGTTCCAGAAAAAAACTGGCTTTTAAAAACAGAGGATTTAATCTAGCAATTAAAATCCAAATTGATTCACGCTCCAGCCGATGTTTATTGACTTTTGCGGATTTTCAGACGCTATTTTGGTCATGCAAAGTTGTTTGGAAATTTTACAACGGTTCAGATACAAATCTTTCCGTTCATTCATTCATCACGCTACGTCGTGTGTTGTTATTACTGTTGTTGAGATTTTCTTAACTCGCGCCAATTGAACGAAACGATGCTAAAAATAGCCGCGCGCAATCCATTTATAATGACAAATTTGAGTCGACAATTCAAACAAATGATAATGTTGTTTGCAAACTTCTACGTTCTACACCGCTTACCAATATTATATCCAATTTAAGCTGGTGATAATAACAAACAATGGCCGCGTGCGCGAACAATATACCAGCTTTCAGAGTCGCTTTCTTACTGACTCAAGTCTGGGATCGTTTGATGTGCACGAATGGAGCAGAAAAAACCAATTCCAGAGAAATAAGATCGATCATAAAATGAGTCAAATCACAGAATTAATAGTGGCATGACTTTGATTAGCATTAATTTGAAGCGATTTACATGAATCTGAATAGCTGCCGCCACTACTGTGATCATCTGACCGACTTCACCATTTTTTTTCCTATTTCGCTCGTGTCTCTTGATCTCATTTTTCTTACAACTCTGTATCAATATGATCATGGATTGGACTTGAAAATGGGCCTGCATTCGCGGGTGCTCTATGAGTCTTATGACATTTCCGATGACTTATGCACTAGCTCAATCTTATCATGAATGATGACATGAATACGTCAAATAGATGCATAAAAATAGACCAAACAACATCCAATTGCACTCAATCCAATGCAATTCTCAATTGAGAGTAATGCTAAAAATAGACACAGTGGCATATCCCGTCCAAATAAATTGCGAAGCCACATGAAGAAATGACGGAAACTTTTCGCCATATTTTAAATTGGCAGTCAGATGAGAGCCGGGCGATTGGCCGAAACTGTGCACGCAATAATACCGTGCAACTGTGATAAAATTAAACCGTCATTCTCACGAGAATGTGACAATGCAAACAAGATGACAGCTTCTGTGTGATATTTTTAACAACATCGTACTGGATTTAGATTTGAAGCATGAACTGTGGACTCGCTTTTGTCTGCTACTTATGGTTATCAATTATATGAATCACAAAATTGTATTGACATTGATTGTAAGCATGCGCTGGAGAAAAAAAAAACATTTCTGCAATCAACAATGGCTGATTGAACTAAATGGCTCATAAATAACGCAATATTCCAAATCCGCGTTCACCGACAACGTTGTATCTTCACACCGAGTATGAAGCGGTGGATTTGGTATTTAGAGCCATATCATGAGAAAAATTCTCTCGCTTCAAATTGAATAGTACAATTGACCGATGTGCTGTACTTTGCATCATGTGCTTAAGCATGCGTCTGAAACCGGCGTAAACTTGATCTTAGACACGCCACGAAATGAAAACGCTCTTTAGCAACGGCAGAAATACCGACTTTATCCAAATGTTCTAGTGCAAACTCATTCACACCGAGTGATCAATACATTGTTAATGTACAGATGACTATAATGAATTTTTCTTTCGCCAATTAATTTGCAATCTGTTTAATGTTTCCGTATCGTTTGTTCGTTCGTGTTTGTTTTTTTTTCTCATAAAAAAAAAACAATTTTATCTAATCTGCAGTGATTATTGGTGCACTCTTCCTATTCACCTTGACATTAGCCTTTATTTACATGTGAGGCTTGGCCTCACATATAAACACTTTAATCAAAAGTACTAATTGCGACGCGACTATAGCTAACAAATACTAAACGAAATTTATAGCTATAAATAAATGCGCTGCAATAACATCCAAATAAAGAGTCAGTGTAGAATATTTTTGTTCCCTTCCGATGTTTAAAAATAACTCCTACACACACACATACACACACACACATGATGGAACCTTTATTGAATTTCGTGGAAAGGCGTGTGAGCAAGCATATATGTGTCTGACCAAAGGATAAAAATTATTAATGAATGGTTATTCATATCAACTGGGCCACACAACCATTTTTAACATATCTGTATACTTGTAAATGTAGCTACGAGATAAAGACCTGTTCAAACCTGCAAAAAAAAGGCCATTTCATTGAATCAATCAAATGGTTGGTTATCAAGTGGCTATAATTAAACTTAAAGTGGTCGCGAAAAGGAAACAGCTTGTGCCCAAAATAAGGCACAACAATACACTGCGTAATTCGTTCCAATTTCATGTGTGAATTAATTGGGTTTGGTTTTGTTTCGTAATTTGCACTGTATGGCTTCAGAATCCAGCAAACAGAAGAGAGTTTTGTCTGCATGCGCCCATTTCGTTTGCATTTTATATGCTACGTTCATTTACGCATTACAATTTGCTTATACCGTTGACGTTCTCTTGTTTAAAAATAAGTATTGTTAAACATGTGGAAGCGCCAGTCAATGCAACTCGCCCAAAGTACAATACGAATTTTTTTTGCTAATTCTTAAAACATATCGTTTATAATAAATCCGCACGTGGTCATGAGTGCTACGGTACTGATAGGCGCGTGGCTCATCCCACGGATTTTTGCCTTTCTTTCTTATCACTATCTATCAATGGATGGGTTTAGATTAATACGCAAAAAAAATCCACCAAGTCAACGATTTCAATATACTGAATGATTCATAGAGTCAATTAGAAAAATCATGATTGCTTGCTGTGTAGATAGAGATAATTTTAATTAGGTTAAGTTAGATGCCCTCTATTGATTTCACAATATGTTTTTGCCTGTCTCATTTTTTCCACAGAGGAATCAGTTCAACGGTGCGGAGATGCATTGAGAAAGAGACGGGTCGAGAGTTTGCCGCGAAAATCATCGATGTAGGTGCTGAAAGCGGCGATGCCTCACCATCACAAATGCTCGAAGCAACACGGCAGGAAATTGCAATATTGCGACAAGTAATGGGTCATCCTTATATAAGTACGTGCCTCATTCACTACTTTCATTTCATTGAACCGCTCATTTTTTGATGCGTAGAATGCCAACTAACAAATCACAACTTCTACTTTACAGTTGAACTACAAGATGTGTTCGAATCAGATGCCTTCATTTTTCTCGTATTTGAGCTGTGCCGAAATGGCGAACTATTCGACTATTTGACATCGGTTGTGACCCTTTCGGAAAAGAAAACCCGATATATTATGAGGTAACCTATTCAATTGATTCATTGATTCAATAAATGTCCAACTATGCACGAGAAAAATGAGATAACACCGAATTCTCTAACATTTGCAGACAAATATTCGAGGGTGTTGATTATATTCACTCGAATTCAATTGTACATAGAGATTTAAAACCAGAGAATATCCTATTAGATGATAATTTTAATGTAAAAATTACGGATTTCGGTTTCGCCAAAGTCTTGGATAATAATGATAAATTGTTTGGTAAGTCGAAATGAACTTGAATATTCATTTCACATGCTTTCCTTGAATTAGAAAGAAATTTTAACCAAAAAAAAAAATGATCCATTGACAGATTTATGTGGCACACCTGGTTATTTGGCACCCGAAACGCTGAAATGTAGCATGTGGGAAAAATCTCCCGGATATTCAAAAGAAGTAGATATGTAAGTATTATGCATCATTCATTGTCTTGCTTGATCTTATCGATTGAACGGTAGACTAATATCTTTCCGGTTTATTTAGCTGGGCATGTGGCGTCATAATGTTCACACTGCTTGTTGGTTGCCCGCCGTTTTGGCACCGAAAGCAAATGGTCATGCTGCGAAATATTATGGAGGGAAAGTACAGTTTCACATCTCCAGAATGGGCCGATATTTCTGGTAAGTGCGACTTGGATATGTTCTTTTTGAATCGATTATCCGCCAAAGTTTTGAGTTGTAATCGAATTTGTGTTTTTTTTTTCTCATCCAACAACAACAGAGGACCCCAAAGATCTCATTAGAAAGTGTTTAGTCGTTGAACCCGAGAAACGAATAACGGTCAAAGAAGCTTTGGCGCATCCGTTCTTTACAACCACGGTAAGATTCAATCTTTCAATTGTTGTTCTGCATTAATTTTGCCACACCTTTTGACTCTAGTCATCTGTCATGCAATTATTTTCTATTTTCAAAAAAAAAACAAGATGATATGAAATCCCTCTCGATTTTTTGATTATGTTCTGCTTCGATTATTTTAGTCGATTTTATTTTCATTTATTGATTTTTCTTTTCTCTCTCTCAATTTTCTTTTCCTATTTTATTTCTCAATTATCATCAACTCTCGCGCCCATCCACACAATCAATGAAACCAATTTTCCCCCCTCCAAAAACAAATCGATCGATCCAAAACGAAAACAAAAAAATTACACACAAAACCAAAATATCCACATCCGAAATTTAACGAAAACGAACACACACAAAAAATCAAACACGAGCAGCTATTTGAACAAGATATTGGCCCCCTCAAGAGGAGTTTATCAGCTAAATCAAGAAGATTCAGTCGCATAACCGAAATAGCACTGGTAACCAACTGTTTCTGGGCAAAAACATGTTACAAAAAAAGAGTGAACGTTCCATATAATTGTCATTGTGTTTGTTACGTTTTGATATTTGTCTTTTTTTTTTTTTTTTTAATTTTCTGCTGTTATTTCGTCCGCAATTATTATTTATATTTGTCTTTTCTCGTTAATTTTCTTTTTCTTCCGTTTGTCCTTTAAATTTATATTTATTTATTTTTTCTATTTGTCAATTTCGAATTGGTTTTTGATTTCTTCAGTATTTACTAAATTTTTGAGTTAGTTTTTCATTTTGTTTTGTGTCACAACCTAATTATTTTCTTTTATATTTATATCCGTTGTTTTTATTCGTCCATACATATGTCAATTGATTCAGGAAATTGTTGTTATTTTTATTCGATTTTCGGAAATTTTGAAACGATCAAACATATTTCAAATTTCAATTTAGTGATATTTTCAGAACTATAAAAAACTTTTGTTAAAAAAATTTGATATGCATAAAAACAATGGCGCCTGAAATTTAACCATTTTTCTTGCCAAATACAAAAAAAAACGCTGCTGCTTAAAATGCATCGATCGGCGATTAAAATCAAACCAAAATTGTCAAATATATAAACACTGAAAAACGTTCATTTTGTTGTTAAAAAAAACGATCGTCAATTTCAGTCTTCGCCGCTAATTGCTTGCATTTCCTCAGTCATATAAAATTGTCCGTCCGCTATTATTCTCTTTAGTTTGCTATAATTTTCTTTGTAAATCTGTTTCGTTTTCTATTTTTTCTTTTATTAAACTATTTTATGTTTGTTTTATTTCCAGCGAAAGCCAAAGCAAAATAAACTTAAAATGTATATTTTCCCTCGTTTGAAATTACAGTTGCGACGCCAAAGTCAATTTAATGCTCGCAAGAAGTTCCAATATGCGATACTATGTGTACGCGCAATGGTACGAATCAAGAGACTGCGATACACGATTGAACCGCTGAGAATGGAAGATTCTCTCAAGGATCCGTATCGTGTCAAAATACTGCGAAAGGTGAATATATCAAGCATTCATTTGATTTAACTAAATCACTCTAAACTAAAAATTCTTTGTAATTCATGTGTTTCAACAGGTCATTGATGGCTGTGCGTTCCGAGTGTATGGCCACTGGGTGAAGAAGGGTGAGGGTCAAAATCGTGCGGCGCTCTTTGAAAATACACCGCGCACTGAGCTGCACACACTGTATCTGGCCAATCTGAGCCGATAGAATACAGCCGTTTACCTACATTATTATTTTTAACGACTGATCGTAGCGTGTATTGACTGTAATCGTACTAAATTATTAACTATAATTGTCTGTGTTATCTGTTAGGGTTTTTTTTAGCAACGATTAAGACAAGAAAAAAAAGAATAACAAACGCAACAGTTCGCGTCGCGAATTTGCAGCTAAATTTAGATAAGAATCAACCATTAGAACAAGTCATGTAACAATAACGTAGATCCAAAACTGTTTCCTATTTTATTAGCACGGACATGAACAAGCTGAAACACGGTGAAAATCGGTTTCGATAATAAGGAAGCGATTGAATTTATTGATCTGAATTCAAAGCAAAAAAAAAGACGCTTATTTTGATGTGCGTATGATGTTGATATTAATACGTGTAATGTTCATTGCTATGGACGTTGTTTGAAAGACTCCCGAAAATTTATCCAAAGCAATACAGCAGATTCGTATCTGATGTTATCGTAAGTTTCTTTTTTTTTCGAGGCCAAAAACATAAACGCGTGACAAATTTGTCTTTTGTTTCGAACAAACCCCGCACACATCAAACGAACATATATGTTTAATTTATTGCAAGACTTAATAAATTATTATGTTCCGATTTGCACGGGACAACACATAATGCTGAAGTCGATTTTTGTTGAACATTTAACATTTGTTATTTAATGGATAATTTTAACAAATAAATGAATTTAATTTATATTTTTTTGAAATGAAAAACCAATTTGTTTGAATCTATCTATACGTTGAGATTGAGAGCTATGATAATTTAATTTTCAATTGTATCGATATCATGACACATTTACAGGGCCGATTATGCAACGTGTGTGTAGGTAAAGTCTATATTCGACGGTGATTGTGAATATAAGATCAAAATTAATTTAGTCTAGAGTAATTTGAACAGTCTCCATTCTAATTATAATTAATGCATATGATTTCGAATTTCACGGGAAAGAACTATCATATACATATACTACTTCCACTCATGCCATTACTAACCGATTTCAACTAAAAAAAGGAAGAATTTGTTGCTGAAAATCGAAGTCATATGTTGATGCTGATTTAGTTTTAGTTTGCTTTTGAATAGATTAATCGAAAATGTATACTTAAGTAATTTT